ATATATTTTCATGTACATTATTATAGTTTAGTTAAGCAAACAAACACAGTCTTCTGATTGGTTGTTTCTCACGTAAAGTTAATCTTTCATCTCTTTGTGACTGTTTCTTGGATGTCAGATCATCTATATGTTAACTGTATCCGCCTACGCAAAATCTGCTGTGGTCGGTTTTGAATTAGTCTTTGTTCATATTTTCTCACGGAAAATCTTGAGAACGTAAACATTGACGTAAATTACTGTCTACCAATTTGGTTAGTAGACAGCTTCCACCACAGTAGTAAGTTATAATATGCTATTCCGAAAGATTTGACTACACAAGATTATAGTTATAGAACAGTAAGATAGGATTCATTACTATTTAGGACTCACCGTTTAGTTGATTATTTAGACTACCAACATTCGGCCTTAATTTGCGTAGAGGCAGACAGTGCTAGCATTAGGCAGTCTCCAGAGACATTTTAATACCAGTCGTCTTCAGTTGATTTGCATCTGGAACTTGAGGCTGAACTCTTAGCATACTGAAATACTCATAATACCATGTTATCAGGGATATATGGAAAAACATTTGGATGAAGAAATAATTAAAATTTAAGGCTGATTGAGAATAGGTGACTGGGGTTGTGAAAACAATCATAGTGAAAGTAGAGTCAAATATAGAGATCACAGATTTCGGAAGCTAAAAGTGAGGGTCAGAGGAGTGCCGTATTAAATCTCTGATTTTTAGTCTGTCACATACGCCGTCTAACCTGGTGTTGATAAAATATTTGTTCAGCAGAGATGAGAAGGTTTTTGGGGTAGGACTGTTTCTAATTTCAGTTGGAAGACGGTTCCAGATACAGCGGTATCTGTCAGTGAAGGAATTTGATCTGTACTTTGTATGACAGCGGGCCACTTTAAAAGATGAAGATTTATTTGTGAGGTTATATCTCTTGGGTGAACTAAAAGTAAAGAAAGCCTACTAATGGGCGTTTATTAAACGTCCATTAGTAGGCTTTCTAATTTGCACCTGTCCTTTACGGAAACACTGTCCATGACAGGAGGACAAAATTCAAGTAAGGGCCTTACGCATAACTTGTACAGCATAATTTTGGATTCACACGCTTTAAAGTTTCGGAATAAAAACCCAGAAAGCCTTTTAACCTTTGATACTTGTAATTTAACGTATTCCGTTAGGCTAAATTCTGGAGTGTATTTCAGACCCAAGTCTGTTGTAAGCGGAAGACGAGGAATATGATTATTGTGTAGGGGGATGGAAAGTTCGGATGAAATGCCTTTGGAGCATAGCACACCACACTTTTCAACGTTAAACTTCATTTTCCACTTGTTACACCACAACTGAACCCTGTCAATATCATCCTGAAACCTATCAAATACACATGACACTTCATTTCTGAGTGAGTAGTATACTATTTTGACGTCATCAGCAAATAGGAAAGGTCTGCCGTGTCTAATAACGTCGCGAATGTCATTGAAATATAACGGGAATAACAGCGGACCTATGACACCACCTTGTACGACTCCACTTGTTATCCGAACAGGGTTGGACGTGCGGGAACCTAACCTGACCAGTTGCATCCGATTGCTTAGGAATGAACTGAGCCAGCTTAACAAAGAACCTTCGATCCCATAAGACTGGACTTTTGATATTAACAGTCGGTGGCTTACTGTGTCAAAGGCTTTACTAAGATCTAAGTATACAATAACTGTGATCATACTGAAATCTTTAAGTTGTGAGATGTGATCGAAAAATTGTAAGTGGCATGTAGTGCAAGAACGCGACTTCATGAAACCATGTTGATAAGGAGTGATAAGTTTCTCTTGAGAGAGGAAGTCGAAAATGGCACTTTTCACGATCTTTTCCAGAACCCTTGAAATGACAGAAGTTAGGTTAGTGGGTCTGTAACTCATGACACTTGAACGGGAGCCTGACTTATACCTAGGGGTAATGTGCGTGGTTTTCCATGCATCTGGATATGTTCCAGCTGATAGAGAGATAGAGAACAATTTAAGAAAGAGAATGGGGATGTCCTCACCACCGTATTTAAAAGTGGAGGGAATCATATCAGGACCAGGGTTGTTTGAACTTTTAAGGGACGTGATTGTTTTCTTATTATTATCCAAAGAAAAGCTGATAGTTTCTAAAGGTTTTTGTGAACGTACATGGAATAGAGGTTGTGGCGACGTATTATCATCATAGGCATACGACCGTGAGAAGTAGGAGTTTAGAAGCTCACAAATTATTTTAGGGTCAGTAGCAGTCTCACCATTTTCTAAGATGAATTGTATATCTGTTTTACGAGAGCTTAGCCTTTTGCGATAAAGCTTACAGATTGCAGTGTATTTAGAGCTATCTTTAAGGGCTGCATTTTCTTGTCTGAGTAGAAGTTTGTCGTTATTTTCTTTCAATCTGAGATAAATGTTCTGTATATTTACAAGACACGAGAAGTCATTTTCTTTGTGATACTGTCGGTGCAGCTTTCGCAGCTTAGCCTTTACTTCTATAGGAATGAAATTCTTTATGTTTTGTCTTGGGTTCTCTTTACATTTAGGAACAAGTTTATCAAAGCATATAGTTACATTCTGGTAAAAGGCTAGTAGGATAGTGTCTAGGTTGCTACTAGAAAAGAAAAGGTCCCAGTCTAAGCTTCTAATGAAGGAGTTAAATACGTCCCACCTAGCTTTTCCGAAGCACATGAATGTCTTGCGCAGGGTAGAGCATTTTGATGAGTGAAGCTTGGTATCGAGGGCGCAGATTATTGTGTTGTGATCACTACCAGGAAATGGTTGGCTGATGTCTATGGTGGATAAGGCAATGTCTTTCAAGAAGACCAAGTCCAGTATATTGTGGTTTCGGGTGGGCCTTAGAATACCACGTCGTTCAACGTTAAACTTCATCCTCCACTTTTTACACCATTACACATTCATATTATTATTAAATTCCTGATTATTTTGCTTCCGAAAGTGCATACAAGCACCACATGTTTCAAGTGGGATTAACCCTTGATTGATTTTGATCCCGTCGCAACATATTGGTAGTTTATTATGTGACAACAGATACATTTGTACTATATTCACTTTCTGGAAAAATTCGGCGCTCCTTAAACTTTGGCTGCGGATCTAAATTTTTTAGGTCGAGTGAATTCTTCAAGAGCTGTTCTTCGTTCAACAGAATTGCTATAAAAATGGTTGCATACCGTAAACATCAGAAGGGAATAAATATTCCCAGATTTCCCCGGATTGGGAAAGTAACTGAACCAGCAGCAATAACTGCAACAAATAAAAGATTGTCTTGTGTCACGAGCATGATCATAACTTCCGACAATCCTACTAAACAATATTTCACCAACAGATGAAAAATGTCTAAAACACTGAGGCAAATCACGTTATGAATGCGCAAAACTATTATAGTGATATAAATGGACTGACTTTGTGGTGGAGACTTTCGAAAAGGACAAAATAACTGATTTTAACCCCGAAGAGATTGGAAAGGATGTCCGAACCAAAACTGACGAATAAAATACATTAGGGATGATTCAAATTAACCGCACGAAAAACACAAAACCAGTGTATGAATGAACAGTCCGAATTTTTTTTTGGAAAACAGCTTGATGCCACATCGTTTTTTCAGTACACGTGTGCAATTTTCAGCGTGGATATCGGTAGCCCAAATTTTGCAGGCCAACCATAGATATCGTGTGTGCGTCGGCAGGGGATAGAACCTCGGACCATGTGCATGGTCGGCGAGAGTCCTAACCACTGTGCCATCAACGCACAGTAATACGGATGGAAATAACCTCAAGATCCATGGTGAAGCAAATATCCTTAAGCACACTTAATCCTCTTAGTAAGCCAAAAGTAAATAACCCGGAATCACGACCACACCCTGCTACACATAGTACAAGGTAACCCCCACACATTGAGAGTTGCTGGTTGTCCTGTTGGTTGACTGCACCCCACCAGCCCTGGCAAACGCTATATGTCTAACTATCCAGATAATCACTACTCTGCCTGGCTTGTAAGTACTGATAACGAAGCGTAGGCAAAAGAGACTCAGCTGTTTAGTGATGTGGATAATGTTTTAATAGAATTAATTTTTATTTGAGGTAAAGATTTTGGAACTGATCAGGTTAGTTTGGACGAATGCTAACAGCACAAGGAAGGAGCGCGAAACTGGCTTACGAGACTACTTGTGCTCACTCTTATTCAAAAATCTTAAAACAGCTAGAGCATCCACAGTCAGGTTAGACATTTATTTAGTATTCAACTGATTCGCTGTGACCCAATAATTTTAAAAGTGGCCTTATTTTATTGCCATGGAAAGTGAACTACAAGTGTTTCACTTGAGAGTTCAGTAACACATGCTTTGATTTCTTGTCCCTGACAGTCTTCCAGACTATCGCTTCACCAACTGACACACTGAAAAGAAGCTAAGACCATAATTCAAAACTCATATCCATGAAAGAAGTAATTTAGTTGTGCAGATCCATAGTGATGTTACGAATGTTCCAGCTTCCCAATTTTTCCTGCTTCATTAGTTATTTTATCTCCTAGTTTTTCTATCCGTACTCCATGTGTTTCTAGTCATATTTGTTTTATACTGATTCCTGCTCCACTGCCTATGATTCTTTCGTCAACTCATTCTCTATTTTCCACTCCTAATATTTTAGAGTGGTTTGGACAACTTTGCTTGAATGTCTCACACTGTGAAATATAAAAATTCCAGCGTTACCAAGGCGAAAAGACCATGCATTCCATTATTAACAAATTAACTTGCCCCATTGCATTACCTTAGGTAAAGTCTCAGTAGTTGACTTATGAGATTTGGAACCTTCCAAATATCTTGGACCGTCAGAAACAAGAAGAGAATCGCCTAAAAAGTAATGGATATTCAACTGACATCGTGTGCAGTTTTTAATAAAAGGTTGTAGACAATGCAATCGCAGTCTGCAGAGGATACCAAACTTTTCATTGCTATTGGACAAAGTTCTAGTCGTAATTGCAATAAAATCAAATGTTGGGTGTCACATCCAAGGTTGTTTGGTTGACATTTTTTCCCGAGGATTTAAGATTAGTTTTGAGGTTAGCTATTGCTGTTTAAGTGGAGACTTCGTTTTTTAAAATTGTTGATCATGAATGATAATGACAGAGTTTTATTATTTTATTATTAGTCGCATTTTTCCGTTGCACCTTCAATAATCTGAAATTTGAACATCATACTAACTCCTGTATTATGTAGTAGTCGTACATTGAAGATAAACTGGATTCATGTGGGTGCGTACAGCATATTCCACTGAGTGCCAGGCAGAATTTTACAAATTCAGTTTGGTGTATAGTATTATTCTCTGGCCTCTTAAAGTAACTTAGGCTCCTGAAATACACCTCGTATTTCAATGCCGTTGAGGCTTCATACGTTATTACATTTATCACTTGTTTCAGCATAGTGTACACTCCCATTTGATCATAAACGGCACTGAGTGCAAACCCACCAAGTTCACACAAACCGTCTTTGGGATTGTCTAAATGTGCATTTCATACATTCGCTTGTTCAGTTTGGCTGTAAAAAAAATTTGACGTTATTTTGGATCTAAGAATATGAGCCACGTCGCCTAATGTCCCATCACGAATTATGATGCTTCAGCCTGATGGTTGTAAGCTTGGTAGCTGTAAATATCTAGTTTCATAAATGATTTCCAAAAACCTTAGTGCAAATATCCGTTTAGGTAAAAACCTTTAGGGAAGAAGTGAAAACATTGGTATAAACCAGTATCATTGTTTCCTGCTAGCTCAATGTGCAGGTGAATTTAAGTGCTGATCAGTTTGTTTGCAGAGCACTGAACCAGAACGTGTTACATGACTATATTTCTACCGATTGAATTGACTCGCAACATCATTGTTGTCTGCCGAACAACTACTGTCTTAATCACACCTTGTACTACTCAGCGTCTCCATGTCTGTGAGACAAGCATTAAAACTGTAAGACACATAGAGGTTAGCTACCCTTCGCCACATGTTTGCTTGTTTTTCCTTGTTTGATATTGAATTTGTGTAGAGTGGGTAAGTCAGTCATTAAGGCTGTAAAGCTCCATCAATTGAAATGGTTATCTGACACAAGTGTTACCCATGCCAAACCATTTTCCTGTTTGAGAAGAGTTAGCTGACTTAAGATGAGGTTTCGGAAAAGAGTCAGGGGTGGTTGAATCGAAGCCTGACATCAGTCCATGAGGTTTTTATCGGTTCTTTCCAGACACCCAAGATGTCTAATTCCTTGATGTAGCCATCGATACGCTAAGAACCAATGGCTAAAGGCTACTGGTGACATGGCTCAAAGTCGTTCTCACTGATGCAGTTGCCCTCATTCTCTATAAATTTTCAGATCCATCTGATTTTCATTATTGGTCATATAATTATTCTTTCTGTCGTACATTTCAGCTCCCTGCAGTTCTTTTGAATTTTCCCCCTACTTCTGTATGCTGTATGCAGTATGGCTAGTCGAACTGCTACATTTCGAAATTCTACGTAAAAGACTCAGTTGTTCAGAATATCACTAGTTAAACAATGTTAAATCACTATTTCTAGCAAACGGAATATATTAGAGCTGAATGACTAATCCATATCTGTCCTTAATCAGAATTTAGCCAAGCTTTGTAGACATTTAATGGCATAGGGATCTGGATAAATTAACCAAGCTAGCAAAACAGACTTAATTTCAAGTATCTTGTGTTCAGCTCCCTGTTCTTCCCCTTTTTATAGATTTCGGTGTTAGCACTGACTGCAAGTGATGACGATCGTACGATTCGGTCGGGGATTTTTACATAGGACAGTCACCTTATGTTATGTTGTAATTTACTCCCTATCCAGCTGTATTGTCCTATTATTTCGTTGGTTAATAAGTTTAGGATGGGATAAGGATAGACTTACTGAAAGTGAAAGAATCCACATTGTTATAACTGCAGCGGAATTAAATGAGGACGTTGTCGCCTTGTTCTGTCTACGCCTGACTAATATGCATATCTGCTTCTGGTACCTTCCGATTCAGCGAACCACGCAAATATCAAAAAACAAAGTCTGGTCTGTGACTGTGTATTGTAGTACAACAACTACGACAAAGAAACTTATTTAGGAAATGGTATTTATACATTTTTACAACCAATACAGACAGCTAACAGTATTTGAAATAATTGGTCGTAATAGTCAATAACAAACTGCGTGAGAATTGATGATATACCACTTATGCGAGATTAACAGTCGTTAAAATAATTGAACAATAACAAAGTGTGTGGAATCCTATCACCTCTCCCCGTTAAAAGTGTAGGACTTGCTTTTTGGATCTATTTGAAAAGGTTCCGGAGCTCTTCTTTGTCGAGTTGACCTTCACGTGGTAATGGATAGAGTGTGATCTGCGTCCCGGGCTTCCGGCTGCGGAAGGATTTGGCGTCGTACGATAATGCAGCAAGAATCTATCCAAAATTTCTTCTGTTGTTCCCTCCCCCTTCGGTTTTGCATAAGCACGCAGGCGTTGCAAGAGAGACTGATCAGATACATGTCCGAGAACAACATTATTTGGTGAGGACGAAACATTAGAGCATACTGAATTTAATGGTACATTGAAAATATGGAGCTTGTCTAACCAGTCAAGACCAAGCAAATTCAAATCATGGTAGTTTGTGACGTAACATACACCATTGAACTGATTCTCACCAAACTGAACCTGGCAATTTATCTCACCCACGAGTTTCAGTATATCTCCAGAAGCATTCTTAGCGACATGCTCGGTCGGCAGAATCTGTGGGCACCCAAGTTTGCGCCACGTAGTTCGGGAAATTAAGGTGATATCTGATGCCGTATCCAACTGAAGACGAATAGATTTACCGTTAATACGTAGTGTAATGTACTTACGTTTGCTGGCGAAATCGACTTTGGAAGTTGTGAAAATGGTCTGTACTCGAGGAGATTGTTTCGGCTTGAAACGACTACTTCTGTTCTTCACCGAAGAATTTTTCTGTGGTGGACAGTAACCCTCTTTATGTACAAAACGGTGACAATTACGGCATTTACGTTTCTTGAAAGGACAGAACTTGACAAAATGCCACGAACCACAGTGCCAGCACACAGAAGGAGGTTTAGCTTAATAATGAGACTGACGTGCTGTGTGCTTAACGGTGATCGGAGGACTTTTCACTGTGTTAATTGAACCAAATTCAGACGACTGTCGTTTGCACTCCACCATAGCAGTATCGTGCTTCAAGTTGATTAAGCGTTGGCATTCTGCTGTCACCATTTGTAAAGTCATTTTCGGGTCTTGTTCCACGAGTGACAGAAGTCGAGTTCTTATGTCTGTATCTTCTGGGTTCTTCAACCCACAAATAAAAATCAAACACTTGAACTGATCTGATGTCATTTCGTGTGGTTTGAACCTTTCGCATTCCTTGTTCACTTTGCCAGCGTAAGTGACATAATCATCGGAAGGCATTTTTGTCAACTGAAAACATTGATACCGAATATTAAACATGGATGACTGTTCACCAAAGATTTGTGATAAAACGGTGACTGTCTCATCGAATGATAACTCACGTGGGTTCTTAGGCAGAATGAAGTTAACATATCTGTTGTGCTCAACAGTACCAAGTTTTCTTAGTAACAATCGGACTTTGGCAGCATCATCAAACATGTAGCATTCAATACGGAAAACGTCTTCATAACGATTGAATCATGTATCAAATACGAGACCAGATATTGGGTCGTAGTTGAACTCACTGATGGAATTTGAGATGCTTTCATATTTGTCTGAATGAGATGTTGATGGAACTTGAATGGACAGCTTCTGAGTGAGAGCTTCGATTAATTTTAGTTGAGCTGCTTCATTCTGAACTTGCTGCTGCTGCAAGATAGATTTGAGATCGTCCAGAGAGATAGACATTGTAATTGGTTTGTAATTAAAACAGTCAAAAATGTTCTACAGCTGCGCTGAACAGAATAAAACTCGTCGTTGCTTGCTTGTTATAACTGCAATGGATTAAAGTAAACCCCGTCGCCAATTTGTTATAACTGTAGCGGAATTAAATGAGGACGTTGTCGCCTTGTTCTGTCTGCGCCTGACTAATATGCATATCTGCTTCTGGTACCTTCCGATTCAGCGAACCACGCAAATATCAAAAAACAAAGTCTGGTCTGTGACTGTGTATTGTAGTACAACAACTACGACAAAGAAACTTATTTAGGAAATGGTATTTATACATTTTTACAACCAATACAGACAGCTAACAGTATTTGAAATAATTGGTCGTAATAGTCAATAACAAACTGCGTGAGAATTGATGATATACCACTTATGCGAGATTAACAGTCGTTAAGATAATTGAACAATAACAAAGTTCCTGGGAAATGTTAATATAACACTTATGCGAGATTAACAGTCGTTAAAATAATTGAACAATAACAAAGTGTGTGGGATCCTATCACACATGTAGTTATTCTGCCTTCATTCCTGGTCTATTGCAACTCACAGTAGTGATAAGAAATTTTTAATGTCTATGGTGTTACTTGTTGCCACAATAAGCAGACGTTACACTGATTCTATTATTTTCTTACCTAGGTTCAGTCTCTGCAAAATGGCTAATTTATCATTGTAAGCTTTAGAAAGCCATATGGCAGTTTGGAGAAATCATTCCAAAATCGACATAGTATAGTTCCATTTAGGAAATTAAGAGTATTTTGCGAACTCAATGCTTATATGTGCACAGATTAAGCAATACCACAGAGGTTGTAAGTTCGGTCTTTGACCCTTTTCTCGTTTCCAGTATTTAGATGCTTTGTACAGTTGATTCAGCACACTACTCAAGCTGTGCTAGATGATACTACGACATTACCGTTTGCTATTAACTTCCTCGATAGATTTTTGAATTCGCCCTATTGGCACATCCAGTTGCATTGAGTACATGTGTTTCTGTTTCGCAGATTAAAACATAATTAACTTATTAACTTCGAACCTTATAATTACATACTGCTTTTTTCCTTTCCCCATACTGTAGTGAATAATGAAAACACTTTCGCTCTGCAGATGTGTAGGAGATTACTGACCTTGCAACATGGAGGTTGGTAATGTTATGGGAGACCAGTTTTTACCAAACAACCACGTAGTAACTGAAACATCAAACACGGAATCGGCCAACAGTGAACCAAGGCGTGACAGTAATGCCATATATTCAAAGGATAATTCTGCTAATACAACTAATTCTGTACATCATCATCATCGTCGAAAACGGTCCCATGTGTCACCACTGGCGCGGTCTAGACAGCCCATGAATTTGCTAGAATCACTTCCATATACGGAATGTGGCCTTTCACGTCTGAAAGACCATGTAGAAATAATGGAATCTGCTGATGAAGATAATGGTATGGCTAGTTGCAATTCTGAAACTCTTTTGCATAATGAAACTACTCAGACAATTGAAAAATCTGTAAATGCTCTAAAGCTCACAAAATTAGATCCAGAGTTCCGTGATTTGATCTCACGTTATGTGTGCTCTGACTATGTCATTCATTGTCTCGAACTGGCTGGGTTTTGTTCACCGTACGTTGTGGCCCGAATGGATTACCATCAGTTGCAAAGACTGGAAGCCTTCGTAGGACATGCGTGTTCAGTTATGAAGTCAGCTAGTCTAAGAGAGCATTTCGTGGGGCCTATTTTCGCAGGTGATCCTCTTAAGTTCAAACTGCCTTCTGGTGCAGCTTGTGGAATTCTTCTTGCGGCCAATGAAATACGTAGAAGGTATCGCCGTACTCAGTTACCAGTAGAAAGTCAAAATGTCACTGATGAGGATGTGATAATTGTCCCAGATTCGTGCGATCAAAGTTTCAATGATGCAGCTTGTCAGACATATTCATCAACATTTCATTCGCTTTCTGTATTGTCCCCAGTGCCGAACATTTCAACTGATGCACTTAGCGTTGTGGGAAATCTAGAAACCACATCTCCTACAGCGGCTATGAATTCGAATCCTAGGACATCTAATTCACCAAACTCATCAAAGCTAGAATTAAATACAGCATCAAAGACTGGATCAGCAGCAATGATGGCTAGTGCTCTTCATGTTACTGCTGCGGTTGTAAGTGGAAACGGATTTAATAGTTCTATGCCGACTGAAAACAGTTCGGCGGCACTCCCTACTTTAAATAACTCCACATCTGTCGATGCCAGTTCCGTCCTTCATCCACAAACTAGCCCCTCACCAGTGTCATCACGTGTATCAGTTTCAGCACCTAACACTCATACTCCCACCGTAACTTCAAATACTTTTTCCTCACAGCCTAACTTTGTGCTCAGTCCCTCTCCCGTAGACTGCGGCAATGGAGTATTAGGAACTGATGCAGTCATTCTAGAACGCTTAAAACAACACTCTTCAGCCAGTGCCATTAGGTTAGCATCACGGCAGTTCGTCAATGCATACCTTATGCGTGGTAGGGATTTTGATATGGAAATGGAACTTTCAGTAACACCTGATGGGTGTAAACGTGTCACCGGGATATTTTATTGTCACTTGTGCAGAAAGAAACGAGAGCGTACCTCAGCTGTACGTTTTACAATAGCTCGAAATAGATATCCAGTTTTGAGTAATGTTTTGTCTCATCTGAAAACTCATTTCCACTATAAAGGACAACTGATGTCAGGATTAGAGGCATCAGTGATCCAGCAAACTCAAAGCTTACTCAAATCAGCTAAGTCATTTAACGAATCCTTCACTGGCAAGGATGTAAGTCAATCTTCAGGAGCATTTAATTGTTCGAACTATCGTTCAGACATAGTTGAGGAAAATACCCTTAATCCATCTAACAATTCATTTTTACAACCATCTGTTTCTGTCAACCAGTTCCACTCCCATATAAAACCAGGATCCGCAGACTATACCTATACTGTGGATTCTGAGGGTAACGAAGATTCCAATTCAGTGCATCCTATTTTCGACAGTTTGTCTGCCTCTTCATCACACAGATTAAATTCATCAAGTGATAGAAGTTTGTCTCCTACTCGTGGTTTGGGACTTGACGTTGGTATTCCCTCAAGACAAAATACAACTTCCAGTAATCGGTGCAATGCCCTCACATCTTGACTGGTATTTTAGCGGCTTCTTTTACTAACATTTTGTAAGATTCTGCGAATTTGTTCACTTGTAAACAGCTGATTATCTTGAACAAAGCCAAAACAACAATTGTACCAGGATATGAGCTCATCTTTTATTATTTCGAGGATTCTCAACTGGTTACAATCTGAACGATAAAAAATATGAATTACATTACATACTTTTCCACGATCACAAGGAATAATTGGTAGGAAGTAAAAGCTGATTATCTACCTGTTCTAATTATTCAATGTGAGATTTAATTTGGAAAGATACGTATACACAAAGAAATTACTTATCATTCTTCTGCATTCCGTAGTAGGAATCCCCTGTAAATATCAGTTGTTTGTTGTCTCCGCCAATTTCTTAATTATGGTATGTACATTTGTGTATAAATTATTTTTTTCTCGAAAAACTTGTCTGATGGTACATGACAGTTGCATCATGTGTGTGCATGAACTTTCACAGAATTGCTTATAACGTCTGCTGAATTTTTACGATTCTACAATATTCTGTCGTCCAGTATTACTTTGTATTTTGTTTCATACCTCGTGTTGTTTATCAGTATATTGTGGACTTTAATACATTAAAATATTGAGTTTGACAGGTGAATGAAACACCTTAGTAAATAAAATCTTGGGAAGCTTAATCGCAATCAACTGGTCTTACATTTTACATTACAGTCATTCAAAAATCTATCCTTTGGTATTTAAAAATTACTGAGACTGAACGTCATGAGACACATACATTTAAAAGGCGAAGTATTACTCAACAACCACATTACCTGATGACTTCAGTGTTGGGTCTGGTTACGCAAAGTTCAGTGATTCGTAACGGATGTTACCTAAAGTCCATTCTATAATAGTCTAATACCCCACTCAGCGTCAGCGCCTTGCTACCTTCAATCAAACAAATGATGACATTCGTGTTCATTCCTAACTTGTCATCCTTATTTCTCTATGTAGGGGGAATGAGATGATAATATTTCGAAGTGGCTTTGATTGACAGATATTCACCTATTAGAGATAATGAATGGAATAAAGTCTTAATAGCTATGTAACTCAAATGCATAGTTGTAGTCCACAAGTCGTCCTGCAGCTCTAGTGTAACAACAGAAGGCAAGAATGAGGCAACAGATCATTTATTAAGGGAATCAAAGCATATTTATATATTTTCATGTACATTACTATGGATATTTAAGTAAACAAACACAGTCTTCCGATTGGTTGTTTCTCACGTAAAGTTAATCTTTCATCTATTTGTAACTGTTTCTTGAATGTCAAATCCTCTATATGTTAACTGCATCCGCCTACGCAAAGTCTGCTGTGGTCGGTTTTGAATGAATCTTTGTTCACATTTTCTCACGACAAATCTTGGGAACGTAAATATTGACGTAAATTACTGTCTACCAATTTGGCTAGTAGACAGCTCTCACCACACTAGGACATGTCGCACTCCAATAGGATTAGAAACGGTGACACTTAAGAAATTTGTAAATCCCAACGTATAAAAACTTGTGAAAATTTGATCTGACTGATTAGATAGTGGTGGTTGGCAGTGAAATTCAAGAAGTACGTTTAATTCTATCCGATAATCACCAGGCGTGTGTTGCAACCAATGTATCCATTAAAGTCATAAAGGAGGTCTATCGTGAGCCCGAATAACTCATTGGCGATGTCTCAGTACAATCAGACTGGTTAGAGTTAGAATCTCAAAGAGAACAAAAATTTCCCCTGATGTTGCAGGGATGCCTTGCTGACGAGTGCTCACATGCACGAAGTCTTGGTCAACAGACTCCTACTGATTGCCTACAGCCATCTAGAAAAGAAGGGATCGATCACCGGATGGTGGTTAAATAGCTGTTTTCCATGCACAGCGCTTATTGACATGTACTTGGCAGCTTTTCAATCTAACTGCTAGGTGCTCTTCAGTTATGCGACTCATTCAAAATCACCTTGTAAGTGCTTGTGAACAAGCATATTGCAATTAGAGCTGATTAAACTAAATAAACCTAACCTTTGGTGTTAGTAATTGTGAGTGATATACCGTTCTGCGTAGTACTAATTTCATCAAAATGTGCGTATATAATTTCAGTAATTGAATACTGCATGGTGTCTTTAGAGTTTTGATATATAGTCTTGGGGGGGGCGGGTTCAGTGCAAATTTGTGTTCATAGTATTTAATTACAAATTGTGGTAGTTATTTATCGCATTAATACGGTAACACAGTGTTCGAAATGCAGGAAATATTTAGAAAGAATAGATATTGACCGGAAATACAACAGATACCTAAATTTCTACTTAAGGAAAGCCCTTCTGTCATTCTCATCGGCACACTAAGGTGTTCTAGACAGTGAACACGAGAAACCATATGTATAGCTTACGTAAGATTTTTAGATGACATTTACGCGAAGCACGACTTATACCAACCCAAGTTCTTATCCTACAACTCCTAAAGTATTTGTTCTGCGTAGACTGAAGGCAAATCAAAACCAAATTGATCATCCAAAATAAGAAATATATTTTGCGATCAAAATCTTAGTGGGAGGATGATTGTTTAACTAGTAAGGGATTGTACACGAATGTAACATGATGGCGTACCAAAAAGCGCAGATGACTGACCACGAATCTTCTGTATAACGAGTCGACTTAAACATTGTAGGTCGGTATCCAGTGTTGAGTGACGATTGGTGTAGACTAATAACTTTGGGAATTATATACCACTACAAGATTAGGTCAGAGGTGGGAGCGATTACAGTTATACGAAAATTCTTTGGCTTATAAAGTCAGGTAAAACTAACTGGACAGATTCAATGATTTGCATTTTGTATAATAAGTCAAATGTCAAATCACAGTAGAATCTATTATAAGATTACCAAATTAGCCATCATAACATACTACTGTATTGACCGTCTATTGTATACAGTAAGCAGTCGAACTCAATCAATTATCAATTCAGTTGAGCGATGTAATATCGCTTCTTCAAAAGATTAAGATTCATTATTTTTGAATAATGTTTCATCTTTGCTAAATTATCCGAAAAAATAATCTGCCTTTTGAAAATTCATACAACGCGTTCCTTCGATCATCTGCGTCAAGGCTTCCCTTCATCTACACAAACACAGTCTAAAATATGTGTAAGATTAATGAAATGAGAACATACATTTTGTATTCCGCTAACAGAATTTAGGCATGCAGACCATAGTTTAAGGAAACCAAAATCGGTGAAATATGATGACACGATCGTTACAACTGACACGAAAAGAAGGCAATCATTTGACATAACTTTTGAGGAAGGTTTGAGAAGTTTCGGTAGACGATTTAACAGCAAAACACTTAGTAACCAACAACATAAAGAGATAAAATATGCCATAATAAACAGGAAAACATTTAGAAGTGATTTAATATCAGTTAAGAAAGTTAAAATCGGTGAGTTGGAAAATGATGACAATAGCCGTAGTTATCGTAGAATACAGAATATATAACTATCATGAAAAAGCTTTATTTCAGGCAAAATGTGAACACAGTACAGACATTTTCGGAGTATCTAGTTCCAAAATATCTTATCTTTGTAGATGATTTACATGTTAAGTAATAATTTCAAGTATATTATGTGACATCGTTTTGTTGCATACGAAGAGAGAAGGAATTTGGCATATTTCTCCTTCATTTTCTTTAAGAATTGCACGGTATTTTGTTCGAAGCTAATTAAATATATGCGCGGATTCATATAGTGATCATTTGATATAAATTGGATAATTAAAGCAATAAGAAATGAAGAGGAGTTTCGGCATTTTGGTAGCCCAGTAATTTAAGCAGGTAGCCGTTAATAACAGGGGGAGTAATTGTTGCCAGGGTAAATTGCGATTAATCACATTTTATTTTTATATAAATAGGTTGGGTTTGAGTCGCTTGATAGTAATAGATACAGCAAGTAAATTTTATTAGTCTTACCTATATTTTAGGCCAATTGTAGCTGAAGAGAAGCCTCGATATGCACATTTTATGCAGCAAATCTCGTTCTTATTGCTGTGATGAATCTGTCTTTTATTTATAAAGTAATTTTACTGAAAGTGACTACAAAGCTTTAGATGAATCTGAAGTCAGAAAATTGAAAAGAGAGCGGATATCGAATTGTCCAATATGTGCATACAGATTAAATTTAAAAAAGTAGAGCGGCGCAAACTGCATATCCGTACTATACAGTTGCTAGAATGGGAACATATTAATATCAGTAAGAGATAGAATTACAGCCAACTTAACAAATGTAGTTTTATTAATACCGACAGAAATCCGCTTTTGCAATTGCCTGTTCCTCTGACTTTCATTTTACAAACGATTAACTACCTAATTGAAGAATAAATCGTCACACAACACTCAACATATGGTAAAAGTCATACAGACTATATAGTTCAAAAGCATGTGAATGTAAATACATCAATTATTATGTCAATTAGATTACGGAAAAAGTAATTTCAATCTAAAATGCATAAGTCGAATTCCATTTGAATTATTTCTTCTCCATGACGAGAATCATCCGGAGACACCAGAGGGTAAAGTCGGTTTACTTTATCTGGGTTGGAAATTTTCAAGCGATTGATCCAAGATGACAATACAGGCAGTAAGAAATCATCCAAAGCATCAGCATACATTTCATCACTATGTTCCTTGCTCTGATGGGAAAAATCTTTAGAATCATCCTTCGATCGTGACTGATTTTGCAATGTATATGCCTCGTGACATGATGCACTCATTCGATAACCCACCTGATCTGGCGACTGTAACTCTATGTGCAAAGTGATTTGTGTACGACCGTCACTTCGGAGTTGAATAAGATACGGTTCAATAGCCTACAAAATGAACAAAAAATCTAAGGAACATAAAATTGACCAACAATTCAACACAACACCAATATTATTTCTTGCCACATACAACTTCGAAGCACTTTATGAATAAATAATCTAGACTGGGTCGATCACTATAGGCTAACCTCAATTCTAACGTTCCGATGATCTGACTATGCCCCATCTACTGGCTTGATCTATGTGGTTGACCTCACAGTCACTGCAAGGTACTTCTTTGTAAATCACATTATTTTGTCTAATTGGGTCAATAGGGTCATTTAACCTACAGAGCTTGTCGCGGAGTGAGTTTGTCGGTTGAAATGCAACTCTAATTCCCGCTCTATTAAGAAGCCCACATAGAGTTTCAGATTTCCCTTCCCTATACGATAAAACTGTAGATGCCTTAGATTCTCTTTTATTCATGTTATCATCACTAGTTTCACTATTATTTTTATTGTGATCTTCCCAATGAATTTCACGGGATCGTTATTTGACACCAACACTACTACTATCGGTTTCATTTTATAATTTTGGGCTTTTTGGTGTGCTACTTAGTGTTATTGCTCGGTTTATTAGACAATTAACTAAGCCTGCCCTCTCAGATAACGGATGAGATGAATTAAAATCCAAATATCTATTAGAATACAGTGGTGTTTTATAAACGCCTTCTTCAGCTCGTTTTTAATTTTAGAATCTAAGATAGCTAATTCTTCTTGTTCATTTTCCCATTCAAATATGAATCTTATTCCCTTTACTAGTGAGTTTATATGTGCGAAGTAAAAACAGAGATATGTTGTAGGATTAAATGTATTAAGAGCCGTATCTTCCCAGTTATCCATAAAGATATCTACTAAGATTGGGGATATTGGTGATCCGATCGCCACACCCTTGTTTGTCTGTATATTTTACCCTGGAATTTAAAGATAATAGATGTGAGGCATAACTGAATTCCTAAAATAATCTCCCCAATGGGCAACTTCGTCTTATGAGTACATCAAGGATCTGCAGTTAGTTCTTTTTTAACTGCTTCTAAGGCCATATTGATAGGTGATGTTAATATAAAGACTAGTTGTATCAAAACTAACCATTTTTTTCCATTAATCTCCAACTGAATGTCATTTAGTTTCTTTTTCATTTCATATGAATTAGTTAACCCAAGGTTTGAACGATTTGTAATAGGAGATAATATTAGTGCTGCATGTTTTGGTAATTGGTAGGTAAGGGGTATTTCTAAAATAAACTATTGGTCTTATAGAGTAATCTGGCTTATGTATTTTAAAAGTACCAATATCATATAGTCTACTGGCATTAATAGTTTTAGTCATTAAATTAAACCATTTAGACACACCCAGTGACAGATTGACTCTGCGAAATAAATCTGCTGTAGAGTTCTTAATCTTATTTATTATTGTATCTACAGGCTTCTTAATTTCTTCATATGAACCCGTTGCAATGTATTCACTGACTTTCTTGATATAGTCGGATTTTTCCATATTATCAAGTTACTGGTTTGTAGGGAATTTGTTTGATTGGTTGGAGGATTTCATCATGAGCTGACATCAGTTAGAGAACCATTGGAAAACCTGGGAGTACTGGACATCGGTTTCGCCCATTACTGCTGTCAATTTTCCTTTATCCACCTTTGCAATGACCTGTTTTAGTTTGTTAAGTTTGACTGTGCTTTCTTTTGGTGTTTTAGAGTCAATGCATATTGTGCTCACACCTTTTCTACAGTCGTCTATTCTACTGAACTTAATGCTCCTTCTGTCTTAGGAACGATATCTTCTGGTTTTAGTTCATTAACTTTTACTTTGAAATTTAATCTTTTCTCAAGTGCTGTTATCTCGGTAGAGCTTATTTCTCTTGACGACAGGCTGAGCACCCACTTTGTTCCATCAGTAGAAGATGAACCATTGTTGTCAACTTCTTCATTTATTGTATTGTTCCTTTTTCTATCGATTTGTTGAATTTCTTAATTTGCGTGTCTCGTGATTTTCTTAATGCTACTTCCCTAGCTTATTTGGTTGTTTCAGCTACGATTTCGTAATCTTTGTCATTGATCATACGTTTGAGTTTTCTAATTTCATTTCGTATATTGTTTAGTTTCACAATCATCCTATAGAGTTTTTCTCGTAGACATAGTTTTCTGACTTTCAGCTGCTGATGTTATTTTGCATCGGTATTAAGGAATTATGTGAGTTTTCAAACATCGAATGTAAAAATACGGTGATTTGTGAATTTTGCTTCACATGATTTTGTCAAACTGAAGCAACATTGCCGCATCTACAGTTTAATCGTATAGGGAAGGGAAATCTGAAACTCTATGTGGGCTTCTTAATAGAGCGGGAATTAGAGTTGCATTTCAACCGACAAACTCACTCCGCGACAAGCTCTGTAGGTTAAATGACCCTATTGACCCAATTAGACAAAATAATGTGATTTACAAAGAAGTACCTTGCAGTGACTGTGAGGTCAACCACATAGATCAAGCCAGTAGATGGGGGATAGACATATTATCGTAACATAAGAATTGAGCTAGGCCTGGTATTATTGCGCCCCCCCCCCACCCACTTCCCGGAAGAGAAGTAATTCAGACAAACGTCAGGAATTCGATTGGATGCATGAACACAGTAGGTTACAAGATATGGTATAGAGTAACGATGGCAAAAGATAATTTGGTTAGATGTAGAGGTTGATTAGTGTATCTTTGTGGATTGAAGGCATATGGAAGACATGCAATGGGAGCCACTCATTACTGACACCAAAGATATGGTAAATATTAATTCCAACTAAATAGAGGGATGAGAGATAATGGAATTATATAAACGAAGTCGGATAGTGGTATGAGTACTCTGACATGATAATGGACAATAAATTCTAGTCTAAACGTCATCAATAAATAATACTGTATAATGCAGTGAGACCATCAAATAAATCGACTCTATGATGAAATTACGCCCCCATACATTTTTCTAGTGATCCAATGTAATTGAAAGTCAGAAAAATATTAACATTACATACGCATATTGATTTCATACGAATATGAAGCATAGAAAACTAAGAACTCGTTCCATTTTTGCACACCTCACGATGAAAGAGTAAACTTACCTTAGTTACGCACTGAGCTACCTCGTTAGCTAAATGCCCAAATGTCAATGGTTTTTGCAAACGTGCGGAAATAGTTTCCATTTCTGTCACATTGAATATATGAAATCGGATCCATGCCAACCGCAGGTGGGGTGATCCTGCAGTAGACAAACTTGAAAATCGATCCACGCCATTTGAAAGGTTATTCTCGTCTAGATACATCCAATGGTATAGTTGATAATGCAATGGTACTAGGAATGTATTGATAGGCTCTAAATCCAGCACACCAACGGAGCTGGGCTGCAGGCGAAAAAAGTGAAGAACATATCACATAGTTAAATATATGTTAAGTGCAATGAACCAATAAACGTCAACTTAGTCTAACACAGCAGATTTCATTCCTTCACTGAATTTTAAATGAAGGTAGAAAGAAGTTAATCAACCCATCGGTTAGCCTACTATGATAAAACGAAGACATGACAAAGATTTCCTGGAATTCTACCAAGAATAGATGAATAATATAAGTTATCAGTAAAACTGATGAACAGTATGTGGATTGAGAAAAACAGCGTCCACAAAAACCGCAGTCTAATGGATTACTAGATTTTCCTGAAAAAAAAAATTCTGTGAGAAAATTGCCTCCATTCAAAACAACATATTTAACCAGTGGAACAAGTTCACTTGACTGAAAATTATATTTGTATAATCTCAGCGAAATTAAAATAAACAATTCCAACTTTTCATTCGGCGAACTGGTCCAAACTTCAGAGATATCAATCAAAATTCAAATAGAAAAAGTAAACATATAAAAGGACACAATCTTGTCTCTAAAAGCCTAGTCCAATCATACGCCCAATTATTATGGAACTTTTCGGTCAAATCTTGATCACAGTTCATATAAAAGTTCACTTCTCTCTGAGAATTAGCTACATTGAAAATTCTTGTTAGTGAGAAAAGACTAGTGTTAGAGCAGATACAATTAACACAACACTGAAAAGCCTATAATTAGAGACAACATAATTCGAACCAAGCTCACGGTTTCCAGTCGATTTTCTTAAACCATCAAGTATAGTTAAGACGCCGACAACAGAAACTTATTTGCAAAACAGCATTTCCGATTTTTATCTGTAACTTATTGTAAATGCTTCCTTCAAACTGAAAATAAGTGCAGAAATGACTCGATTTGTGTACGAAACATTCACACCTAGTAACAAACACAATGCATATAACATCATCTAGTGCGCATGGATATCCTAGATGTTGATAAGCTATTTAAATGCACAGAAACTGATTTACTGAAGTGGTAGACTACTGTTCGATTTCTAAGCTGGAAATACTAAGAAACGAAAGACAATAGTCAAGATCTTTCAGGAGACGCGTCATCGGTTTCCTACTCTCGGTTTTCAGCTATTTCCACTATGTATTTCAGCAGTTGTCAATAAAGACCGATAAATGATTACTCTTTAATTATCACTAAGATAATGAAGTTAATTAAATACAGAAATAATATAAATACATACTATATATCTAAGGATATGAGATTAACCAAGAATAAAGATTAAGATATCTAGGAAGATAAGTTTATCTTGGCAAGGTTTCTCAGTTCACTTCTCAAAAAGTTATTTGGATACATTCATCAAAACAGGCTAACAAGACGGTGTCTGCATCAAGCTTGTGAAACCATACTGTAATAGAATTCATATATAACCACTTGCATTTCTTCATATAATCGACACTTAGCTGTTCTGTATATCAGGCTTATTCAAAGTAAATTAGAATCGTTAAGCAAAACATGTGGTTTGAGTATCTGGTTGTCTGAAGTTGAAACAGCGGACTGTAAACTATTCCTTGACAAAAGTTATGAACCGTGCAATAAGTTAGAATTCCTTTATGAAAATAGGAGACGGAAATTTGAATAGACTGGAATTAATCATTTCAATTTAGCTGAGATTTTACACACATAATTTTTTACAAAAGATTTTATTACTTTTAATAATAATAATAGTGATAATAATAGTCTGCTTTATTACCTTACGTCCTACACGAAACAGATATTAAAAGAATTACTGGACGTTAAAGTTTACTGCCATAGTTAAAAACTTACGTAATTAGGAGAGGTAACTGAACCACTAAATGAGGCACTTGATAAGAATGAATCAAAGACTTTAAACCATTTAATGTGAATCGAAGAGGCGACATTTTGATCCCTGATGACTGAGCTGTCAGTACTACCTGTGTGTTCGATTCCTGTTGATTGATTGTCACTCCGGATTTCAATTGATAAATCAGAGCCAGTCTTCAAACTGTTAATTAACTGGTGACATTTCGAATCTGTTAGAGTAATGTATACACCGTCTTCAACAATTACAGCACTACAACATGAAGCACGACCAGAGAATGCTACAAAACTCACACCAGTAACCTGTAAATTAATAATTAAAAAAAAAAACTAGTCAACGGAATGTTAACATTGTAATACAGTGATTTAGAGTATCATTCGAAAACTAGTCAAAGTATGCATACAATTTTGCATGTAAAGTTAATTAAGAAATGTCACTTGAATTAATATATTGATACCAAAGAGTGTTTGCATTACCAGCATTCAAACGAACATTTAGACGAACAAAGAAAGAACGACAAATATCCCAAAGCAATACATGAACTCATATTTTATTATTTCGAGGATTCTACTTAACTGGTTACAGCTTGAACCACAAAAAAATATAGAAATTATATTTAAGGTTTGAACAGACTTTCCTCGTGATGACAAGCAGTAAATGATGGGAACTAAAAGTAATATATAAGTTCGGAAAAAAGTAAATTGGCAAATTATCAAGAGTTAAAAGGATTGACTATTTTATAAGATGATCGGAACAATACTCTTCAAAATAAAGTTCATTTTTTGGGAGGTAGGAACAAAGTTTAACTAAAGGAGTATAACAATATAATAGGTTAAGCAATTACAAAAAGATCTCGCCTAGTTTGCTAGTCGGTCATAAGCTCACAAAAAGACGGAAGGTTGGGACGTGGGTTTAATGACTCTACCCGAGAAAATCAATCCTGCTGATACAGAAACTTAATAGCACAAGAAAAATACAAAAAGCAAATTTATTTCCCTCTGGAATCGGAGAGACGAAATGATTTGGATTGGTGAAAGCCTTCGAGTAGCCAGTCAGCCAGTCCGTGTCTTTTTTCGATAATAGCACAGATAAGAATTTAGACGTAGAATGTTCATACAATGTACAGAGCTGGGAAATCTGTCAAAGAAATGAGAAAATAAAGCTTATAAGTGCTAGGAATCTGTGATAGAGCAAGTATAAATGGATGTGGACTATCCCAATTGTTAACTGGCAAGTCAGAAATCAACTCCCGTCATCCAGACGATAACCACGAGCACACTGAGGAAGTGGTTATCATGATGTCACTGACAGCAAACAAAGCTATTTTACAGTGGGGACGAATCTCATCTAGATTCAATTCAAAACGTAGGAAAGTTACAACCAATCAATGCTATGAGCCTTAAAAAACGAAAAACTAGAGAAGAAGGGAGATTGATATAGAAAACTACAAACAGTAATAGATAACATCCCAAATGGTGACATTTAAATCCCAATGGGTGATACGAATGCTAAACTATGAGCAGACAACACTGGAAGAGAATTCATTATGGGTCAGAAGGCTCTCGGTAAAATAAATCAGAAAGAAAAACTCTTCAGAGACCTCTGAGCATTCAATGATTTGAAGACTGGAGATAGCGTGTACGAGCGAAAAGACACACAAAATGACATGGGTTACACCAGAAGGACACACCAACATTCAGATAAGATTCAATTCAGTCTCATGAAGGTGAAGGCGCAATCTCCTAAACAAGCAGTCGAAAACGGGAGCAGGTGTGGGCTAAGACCATTATTTAGTTCAAGAAACCTTCAGTGTCAAGCTGAAAGCTGTCAAAATAACTGGAGACAGACCACAAGTCAAATTTAACACTCAGAAACTGAAAAATGCAACTCCAAAAGATACTTTCACTGCAGCCATCAGAGCAAAGTCGGAGACACTACGTAGCATCACTGAATGAACCTGTGTGTAAGGACGTTGGCACTCTCTATAGTTGGTGTTCAAGGGAATGTGTTCAGCCGTTTTTAGGAAGAAAGAAGAGGCCGGACAACGGATACCTCGGGGCTACTAAAGGAGAGGAGGATGAGTTCAGTGTACATCTCACTGGATCAAGAAGTAAAGACGAGTGCTGCTGCTGCTAGATTCAACATAGAACTTGGCACCGAAGTGCAGCAGTTCGAGTTGCCACGTTCCAAATAGCACACAAAGGTAGACAGGAAAATAAGAGAAGAGAATCAATAGAATTTAGATAAGTATAAGAGTGAAACAGAATGAGTAATGGTAGAAAGGAATATGAAAGATTACAGAGACTGAATACATCTGCGCCATTGACAACGATTTTGAGCCATATCATCTAGTGTCTCCAGCCATTGATTCTTAGAGTCCCGAGGGCCCCAACCCGGAAGTCTGCATCTCCCTACCTGACTCAGTTTAACTGTCAGGGATTTCATGGACTGATGCCATGTTTTTGTTTGGCCACCGCTTACTCTTTTCCAACCTGCACCTATATCAGCTAGTAATGCCCGTCGGCGGAGGCGATGGTTGGGCATGCTCGGCACGTGACCTAGCCATCTCAATCTATGTAGCTTTATAGCCTCTTCTATTGATTTTCCCTCTTTGCCCAACACTCTACGCCTAACATCAACATTACTTACCTTATTATACCACCTAACGCAAGAAAGAGATCGTAAACATCTGTGGTCAAAAACAGACAATCTCTTCATGTCTTCCGCTCTCAATGGCCACGTCTCACCGCCATAGAGAAGGACGGAGCGAACTGCTGAGCAGTACACACGTCCCTTGGTTGACAGCGGATGTCACGCCTACGCCAGAGACGGTGTAAGTTAGCGAAAGCAGCCCGAGCTTTCTGGATCCGTGCTGTGATTTCGTCACCAATCAATCCGTTGGTGCTGATACAACTTCCCAAATAGGTGAAGTGGTCAACATGTTCAATCACTTCACTCCCTATCACTAAGCTTGGAGTTGACGTAGTCCAGTCCTGTAGCAGCATCTTACATTTTACAGGGGCGATTCGTATCCCAAACATACGAAGATTGCTGCTCAAGGTGTTCAGAAGACTCTGCATTTTGTCAGCACCCTCCCCTAACAGGACTATGTCGTCCGCATATTCTAAGTCTATAAGACTATTCCCTGGTAGCAAGTCGATTCCTAAGTCGTTAAGTTCAGTTAAGGATATTTCCATTAGCATATCTATGATGAAGTTAAACTGAAATGGGGAAAGTGGACATCCTTGACGGACACCACTGGTTGTTATCAATTCAGATGATAATTCCCCATAAGCCCTTACATGCCTACGTGAGTTTGAGTAGAGCGCCTTGATTAGTGCAATGTACTTTCTTGGCACTCTCTTCACAGTCAAACATTGCCATAGTACCTCTCTATTCACGGAGTCGAAGGCCGCCTTCAAGTCAAGAAATATGGCAATTGTTGGACGCCTAAAAGTGTGTCTATGTTGTAGGATCTGTCGGAGAGTGAAGATATGATCTATGCACCCTCTACCTGGCCTAAAGCCCGCTTGATTTTCCCTCGTTTGTTCCTCCCGAGTTCGGCTTAGTCTGTGCATGATTACTGAGCCTAGGATTTTAGAGACTATGTTCGTCAGGCTGATTCCTCTATGATTATCACATGAGGACTTATCTCCCTTCTTGAATACTGGTATGATAAGTGACTTACCCCAGTCTGATGGAACCGTCTCTGATTCCCAGACGTTACCTAGTACCTTAGTTAAACTATATACTAGTATGTCACCCCCATATTTAAACACCTCCGGAATAATTCCGTCGGGTCCTGCCGCTTTGCCTCGTTTCAAATTACAGATAGCTTTTGTGACCTCACTTACAGACGGCGGGCCAGTGTCTATGTCCCATTCGGGTGTGTGCTGGATGGCGGGGAGGCTCAGTGTGGCTGTAGGCAAGTTAAACTGTTCCTCGAAGTGTTCTTTCCAGCGATCGAGGCGTCTATCCTGAGAGCTAATTAAGGAGCCATTTTTCTCACAAATAGTCTCACTTATGATTTGCCTTTTACCACCCGTTTCCCTGATGAGTCTAAAGAGTTGCCTAGTGTTGCCTATCGCCGATGCTTTTTCCATCTCTTACGCCTTTCTCACCCACCACTGTTCACGGTCCTTGCGGAGACTTTTCGTAAGTTTCCTTTTGTGCAGCTTTCGCTCCTCATTGAATTCGGAGCTCGCCGGAATAAGTCTTCTAGCATCTATCAGTTCGGATGAGGCAGTCGAAATCCAATGGTTTTTACTCACCTTTGGATTTACCTTATTCACAGCTTTTACAGCTGTATCTATGGCTGACTGAATATTTTTCCAGGCTTCTTCAGGATGAGCGCAGCTGTCAAACTCAGATATGTGTTTAGCTAGTTCTTCCTCAAATAGGGACTTAGTTTCCTGAACGAGCTGGGGACGTGATGGGTTTACCGCCAGCTGTTTCCTACGTCCGTTCAGCCGTAAGCACACACGAGCGCGGACCAGTGCGTGATCGGTATCTACATACGTGTTCCAGAAGGAGCGACAATCCCCTACCGACCCACGCCAACGATAGCTTATTGCTATGTGGTCTATTTGTGTCCAGCGTTGGTTTGATGATGGAGGTCGCCAGGTCAGACAGTGTCTCTCCTTGTGTTTGAAGTTAGTGCTTACAAGAAACAAGTGATTATCTGAACAGAACTGTAGGAGACGGTCAAGACGAGTGCCAGGAAAGACAAAAGATATTGTATTATATAATCAGGTCTCTATCTGTGAAGAGATCAACGCAGGTGAAACCTATAAAAGATGTTCAAGGGTACCTAATTATTAAGGAGGACAAACAAATAAAAACAATGGGCTGATCACTTCAAAGAACTCTTGAATTGCCTGTCACCTGCGACTCGTCCACAAATACCACATAACTACCAGTGGACATCAATCCTCCAACGAAGGCATAAATCTTGAACGGAATGAATCTACTGAAGTCCGGGAAGGCAGAAGAACGAGACGGAATTCCCTCTGAGGCACCGAAAACGGACCCAGAAACTGGGGCAGATATGCTGACGCTAATATTGCACAAGGTCTGAAAGGATGGACACGTGCCTACTGATTGAAAAAACGACTATTCTGTCAAGCTACGAAAGAAGGGCAACTTAGGTCTCTGCAAGAACTGGAGTGGAATCGTTCTCTTATCTACGCCAAGTAAAATAGTAAGTCGCGCCATCCTGGAAAGAATGAAAGATGCACTGGATACAGAAATCCGCCAACCGGAACAAGCTGGTTCAGGAAAGACAAATCATGTGCTGATCAAATTGCAACTCTACGCATCATCATCATGGAATAAAGCATAGAATGGCACTCAAACATGTACCTTAACTTCATCCACTTCGAAAAGGTCTTCAGCAGACAGTGTTTACTAAGAAGTAATTTGGTAACTGCTTCAACACTATGGTATGCAGTTCAAGTCTTTATCAACCTCACTCAACAGCTATATGACAACACCACGTGTCAATTGATCCACAGTGAAACCTTTGAAGTGAACACCGATGATATATCTAATTTTGGTGGACTGGATTGTGCTTCAGACTGTGGGGAACTAGGAGAGAGGAGTGCGTTGAACAGATAAAACTCTAAAAGATCTGGACTTTGCACACGACTTATGTCAAACGTCACACTAACTCAAAGACCTACAGGCGAAAACGAAGAAGTCGGTAGAAGAGGCAGGCAGCAAAGAAAGGACTTCAAGTGAATATGCAGAAGACGGAAGTGCTGAAGATAACCAACCAACAACAACCAGTACCAGTCACTATCAACGGAATAAATTTGAAAGCGACAACTTCCTTCACTTATCTAGGGAGCATCGTTTCAATTTCAGGTACATCGCATGGATGAGGATGTCAAAACCAGAACCGGAAAGGAAAGGCAGGTGTCCATTACTCTGAAATCAGTCTGGAAATCTCCTTCACTCAGCATAAACAAAATTCTGATTTTCAACACCCACATCAAGTCAGTTCTTCTAAATGGGTCACAGAACGCATTTCCAACATAGTGCAGACTTTTACTAATGGCTGTCTTCTCTATCTCTATATTGAAGATCAAAAGGCCAGAAACAATTAGCAACAGAAAACTGTGCGAATAAACTAACCAAGAACCTATCATTCAACATATATGTGGGACAAAATGGAGATGGATTAGAAACACGCTGAGGAGACCATCGAATGACATCGTGCGTAAGGCCATTGTTTGAGTGGAACCCAAATGGGAAACGACTGGAGAGTCTGAGGGTGACGTGGAGAAAATCATGTGAGGAGATGAGAGCCTGTGGATAATAGTGGAATCAGCTAAAGAGGACCGCAGATAGCAGGACAAGGAATTTTCTAAACGGGAGAGAAGATATAGAAGAATAAAACTTTGAACTTTGTTATGTGAGTATAATTACCAAGGTAGTGCAAGATTCACCACTGCCTCTTTCCACGTACATAGAGCGGGTTTCAATCGTTTGATGGAGATTGCCTCAGCAAAACGTTGATTGTTTTGAATGCCTTTACATTGTTCACAATAAGACCAGTGTTCAAAAGATGGAGCGCAATGGCACTGTTTAATTCCCGTGAGCCCATTAGTTTTAGGTTCGTCGATATGTGCTCAGAAATGTGGAAAACAACCCTTTCCTCTGTTCTCCAAATGTATGTGCTTTGGCACGTATATGTAAATTGGTAGACACAGTTGGAGATACCATGAGGTAGAAGTTTGTCCAGGGTTACATCCTCGATCATTTATGTTGACAGCGAAGATCTACCTAAATCTTCTCAAATAAATTCTCCCACATCACAACTTCGAGAAACAAAATAAAAGTGTAGGATATGACAGAACTACATGTATGTTTGAATTAGATGATACAACCGAAAATAACCACATGAAAGTTTTTTATACTAGATTATGTGGAACTAATGGATATGTGTAATTGCAAACATTAGTATTATCTTACATTTCAAACTATTGGGCTTCTAATTTGAGACTTACTGTACACCTCCTTAGACAACAATGAACACTGGGACAAAAGCAGATTTAAGATATTCATTCCATGTGCTTAAGACTTACATCGTCTTGAAATGCCAATAAGAATAGACTGAAGTTCTATAAACGTGTATAGTAAATTTGAACGAACTCCCTCTGCCTATATTTATGAGGAGAGCACTAAAACATTCAAAAGTGTTATGAACCAATAGACAAAGTTGATCCTGAATGGTTACGAGAGTTTCTGCTTAGTCCTAAGTGCGTCTACCGAAAGCCACTAATCAAGTATTCAATACAATCATTAGGATAAACAACATAATACTACTGAGAGTTGTAAGTTGGTATTTGATTTTAGGAGTTGACGCGCGAAAACCGTGTTTACTGACCACCTCAGTTAAACGTATCCACAACCGAAGGGAACCTCATGTTTCCCATATGATTCCCACTTGACTCACTAAAGTGCCTTCTTGTTGGACAGGACTTCCCGCCAACTGACTCACCTGAACAAACAATATCAATATATTTTTGAAAAGTTAAATAGCCACAATCAACTTATGCCCACGTACAAACTTTGTCATTAATAGTTATCTAATGATGATTTGAGTGTATATAGTGTTGGAAAGTTAACTCACTTGTTATAAGAATCAGTATAGCGTGGTAGTACTACTGCTACACAAGACATGACTTTGAAAATATGGAAAAATGTTGAAGTGAATAAACACAGTACGACAAGGTATAAATATCATGTTAAATCAAGTCACCACTTTTAAGGATACTAACAAACAATGACACCACGACAAATATATTCTGCATATTAAGATTTTTCACGTCTAGATGAGCATAGGGCGTGAGTAAATTTGGGACAGTGAGATCAACTTTATTTCATATTAATCAGGAAATCTTATAAACTTTCAAAAGCAAATTGACAATAAACTAAATGCAAGTAATAAGTATGATACCTTTGGTTTTGTATTTTCAATTGATATAGCACCTGTGTCGTAATTTTTGGAACAGTTTGAATCGATGAAGTAGTTTAAACTGGAGGCTGTTTTCTCATTAGCATCATCGTTTGACGAATCCAAATCAGTGTGACTATTCATAGACATTGTATATTTTTTTTGTGATTGCGAACATACCAAGTGGGAATCAGATATAGGGTTACAGTCAGCCGACAGTGCAAATGTCATCGATTCCACGGGAACAGTATCCAGAAACCTCATCAAAACAGCACGTGACGATAAAGGGACCTGAAAAATATAATAATAAAAATTAATTGAAAAAATATAATGCAGTACAAATACAGTGACTAATCTAAAAGAGATAAAATGATAAGAACAACGGAAGGTGAATTCCATCTACCAGGAAACACCAAAAATGAAAGGCCAAACGACGTGAGCCCAAAGTTTCATGAAAAACGAACCCGTAGAGAATTTCAGAATGGTCTACCACTGAAATTACACACAGTGGAGATGCAACAGAACACAAACAATTTACACACTACTTCAAGTTGCATTTCTCTTAGACGTCTTCCTTTTTTCATCTCGCGGTTGTCTCATTGACGACTGAGTTTCTTTCCTCTCAGTTATTCGTTCATGACTTTTTACGAAGACATCACACCGTGTTCTACCTAAAAAAAGTTATCAGAAGGAAACATCACATCTTTAGTGGTCTTTATAACTACACTAACTAGTATGTTGAATATAAATTTTTATCAGCACAAGGCAAACTGTAAAATTTGCTTCTAGCATAGAGCAGCTGACCACAGTGCTATACATAACGAATATTGTATTTTTAGGCTAAAATAGCCACCTGATAGTCGTACTGGCTGTTAAGAGTTGAGATATGACTACATGGTAGTCATACGAAATGATAATTAGTCACTTCATTAAGGGCTATATAAAATAAATAATCTTCTCCACCAATCAGAGGTGTGCACACTAATTCCATCAGATTGGGGTAAGTCACTTATTATACCAATATTCAAGAAGGGAGACAAGTCCTCATACGATAATCTTAGAGGAATCAGCCTGACGAACATAGTCTCTAAAATCCTAGGCTCAGTAATCATGCACAGACTAAGCCGAACTCGGGGGGAACAAACGAGGGAAAATCAAGCGGGCTTTAGGCCAGGTAGAGGGTGCATAGATCATATCTTCACTCTCCGACAGATCCTACAACATAGACACACTTTTAGGCGTCCAACAATTGCCATATTTCTTGACTTGAAGGCGGCCTTCGACTCCGTGAATAGAGAGGTACTATGGCAATGTTTGACTGTGAAGAGAGTGCCAAGAAAGTACATTGCACTAATCAAGGCGCTCTACTCAAACTCACGTAGGCATGTAAGGGCTTATGGGGAATTGTCATCTGAATTGATAACAACCAGTGGTGTCCGTCAAGGATGTCCACTTTCCCCATTTCTGTTTAACTTCATCATAGATATGCTAATGGAAATATCCTTAACTGAACTTAACGACTTAGGAATCGACTTGCTACCAGGGAATAGTCTTATAGACTTAGAATATGCGGACGACATAGTCCTGTTAGGGGAGGGTGCTGACAAAATGCAGAGTCTTCTGAACACCTTGAGCAGCAATCTTCGTATGTTTGGGATACGAATCGCCCCTGTAAAATGTAAGATGCTGCTACAGGACTGGACTACGTCAACTCCTAGCTTAGTGATAGGGAGTGAAGTGATTGAACATGTTGATCACTTCACCTATTTGGGAAGTTGTATCAGCACCAACGAATTGATTGGTGACGAAATCTCAGCACGGATCCAAAAAGCTTGGGCTGCTTTCGTTAACTTACACCGTCTCTGGCGTAGGCGTGACATCTGGCTTCCAATCAAGGGACGTGTGTACTGCTCAGCAGTTCGCTCCGTCCTTCTCTATGGCGGTGAGACGTGGTCATTGAGAGCCGAAGACATGAAGAGATTGTCTGTTTTTGACCACAGATGTTTACGATCTCTTTCTCACGTTAGGTGGTATAATAAGGTAAGTAATGTTGACGTTAGGCGTAGAGTGTTGGGCAAAGAGGGAAAATCAATAGAAGAGGCTATAAAGCTACATAGATTGAGATGGCTAGGTCACGTGCCGAGCATGCCCAACCATCGCCTCCGCCGACGGGCATTACTAGCTGATATAGGTGCAGGTTGGAAAAGAGTAAGTGGTGGCCAAACAAAAACATGGCATCAATCCATGGAATCCCTGACAGTTAAACTGAGTCAGGTAGGGAGATGCAGACTTCCGGGTTGGGGCCCCCGGGACTCTAAGAATCAATGGCTGCAGACAACAGGTGACATGGCTCAAAATCGTTGTCAATGGCTTACGCAGATGTATTCAGTCTCTGTAATCTTTCATATTCCTTTCTACCATTACTCATTCTGTTTCACTCTTATACTTGTCAAAACTCTACTGATTCTCTTCACTCATTTTCTTGTCTACCTTTGTGTGCTATTTGGAACGTGACAACTCGAACTGCTGCACTTCGGTGCCAAGTTCTATGATGAATCCAGCCAGCCAGCCAGTGCACACTAGTCTCACAAATACTTTGTCATCTGGAAAATTTAGCAGTAAAGCCTTTAACTTCAACTGTAAATAACACAGGTGCAAATCACTGAAGGCAAGTAAACTTCCCTAAACTCAAAAGAATAAAACTTTTCTATACTTAGTGAAGAACACGAAAAATAGGTTCAGAGTATCCTACTGATCGAACTAAAATATGAAAGCAAAAAATAGACATCAAACTAGAGGCGTCACAATTTAAGACTTACCAAGAGCTCTAAAATTACTTCTTCCGTAATATTAGAACTATTAGTATCTCCACTGCTCCGGTCATTTTTGATCATATTCAAATGCGCAAAGAATCCATTTATATGAAGCAATAACTCGGGCATTAGCACAGGTTTCTGTTTCGGTAAAGCTGTCATAAAATCTGGATAAATGAACGGTGTTATATTAGTGAACAGTTGTAGAAAACTTGCTCCATCCACTTTACAATTAAATAGGATCTCACGATCACGGTCAGATAACAAAGTAGTTGGATAATAATGTGATACTTTGCCAAGATTTAATAAGATTCTACTGGGTAACCGATATGCCCAAGGTGCCTCTTGGATATGCACTAGTAGAGCTATTAAAAAAGGCGGGTCCGGTATATGTAATCCTGTTAAGCATTGATGAGTTGGATGGAAAAATACAAATCCATAAGGGTTATTGCAGTCATCAATATTGGACGATGTTTTAGAAAACGGTCGACTGTTAGTATTCACATTGAATGAAGTCGTTTCAGTTGAGTTAGAACAACGACCGTTGGCGAAATAAAGCTTCTCAAAGAAGCAGTCATGAGAACGAAATGGAGCCGAACCAAATGGCTTGTTGTAGGTTGCAGAACTAAATAATTCTGTAAGAAAAAGATGAAAATAGGCAGAAAACTGTAGTAATTAAGATAGCTAACTAGGCGAAATGCTGAATACAAGAGACAAAAAAGTTCAAAGAATCGAGTGTGTTAGAAAGCCACGTCTCGAACAAATCAATGTTTAGTAAGTGCCTGCCTGTGTCTCCGAATAACAGAAATTCACTTTTGAAAACTTTTGTGTTATAGGGAAATCTGGTAACAATATTCTAATTGGACCTCACTGGTCACGACTTCTCACTAGAACTCCAGGAAACTCCATCCTGTAGCAAGTCACTAGCGAGCATCAGATTAATTTTCTATAGTTTGGTTTGTAAGGGTTTGTTATGTTTTTACGAGTTGATCACGATTGATATCAGTTAGAGAACCATTGACTTGCTACAGGATGGAGTTTCCTGGAGTTCTAGTGAGAAGTCGTAACCAGTGAGGTCCAATTAGATGTCACGTGTGTGGATGGATGTCCCATCAACGACAATGGTTGAGGTTGCGCTAAATCACGAATTGGTAGAAGTTAGAATTCATGAGCCATTGAATCGGGTCCCAGTGGCTGAATGGTATACGAGCTTGCCTTGTAACCGAAAGGTCCTGGGTTCGAATCCCAGTGGGTGCATACTGCCGATGATTCCCAAACTAGAATGAAACAGTAGCTGTCCAGTACTCCCTGGTTTTCAATGGTTCTCTAACTGATATCAGTCCGTGATCAACTCGTAAAAAACATTACAAACCCTTACAAACCGAACTATAGAAAACAATATTCTAAAAGTGGAAATTTTTCAAATACTGCATACAGATATTAACAGCGCCATCCCTTTATTCAATAACTTTACACTACTATGCAGGAATTAAAATCAATATTGAGTTTAAATAAAGCAAGGGGATTTATAGTGAGGTAAATCAAGTGACAAAAAAAGAGTATGCGTAATTAAATTAGTTCTCCATTGAAACAGTTAATGAATTAAATAATTAGGTCACAAAACACAGATTTTAAACCACGAGATACACGTGTTTATCTATGAATAAGAAAAACAAAGAGTCATTCAACCAAAAAATATCTGTTCTCAATAACTTCGGCTTCAAGCCTCAATTTTATTCTCTATCCCTACTGATGAGTAACATTATCTGAAAAAATATCATAGAATTATGCCACAATTACTTTACCTATATATATATATATATATATATATATAGGGCTTTTTTGGAAAGCATTATTGTATCCATATGAATAAATACTTCATTACAACACGGCACTTACCAAAACTGATATCACTTTTAATTTCTTTTTGAGCGCGACTCACCAGGGCTTGGTAGATAAGCCAATATTGATAAAATATATCGAGTGGTGGCAATTTCTCATCGGGACGTCTACGTAACAAAATTACAATTTCCTCTTGTCCATATTGATAAAATCCTCTCGATGCAAAACACCAGGCTGATAGTTTTAAGCAACATTTCAAATCAGTTGGATGAACATGTATGTGCAAATTTCGAGTGAGAGCTAATGTTATACCGGGTGGTATGCTACTCAACTGAAGAAAAAAAAAGAGAAATTTTGAATATTCTTCGTATAGGTCTAAAACTGGTGAATATACCAGGATTTCACAAAAATCTCAACATCCACGAAGGTAATGTTCATTTTTGGATTGATGAATACGCATGACCTAGATGGCACATGCAAAAGGGTGATGAAGAAAGTGTACAGTACAAACAAAGCAACAATCTATCTCACAGATATAGTGGATACACCTAGAAACACGACCAACTATTAAAAGCTAGGATGACGGCGCATAGTTGGAGTGGCCTAAGCACTTCTAGGTTTTATCTTTCTGAACAGAGATTCATTATGAGTAAAAGCGAAAAGGTTTGGTTAAGTGCCCAAATAGCTCAGTCAGTATTTTGATGAGCACATAAATATCATATAAAAGTGACTAAATTAACATTCTCAAGAATCTATTGAGCAACTTAAAAGAACCCATTAGCAGAAAATAATAACGAAGACGGTAATCGCAATGAAAATAAGAACCAGTTCAAGACCTCCATAGTGTTACTAAGAGGAAATACCCTTAGCCCTACGTAGGGTGGCATTTTAACCTTCGAAACCAATCAGAGGCAAATTCTGCTAGCTAAGTGATTGTACTATAGCTTGATTATTATTGTCAATTTGAAAGTACTACATTTTTCATTCGCAGGCTTGACAAAAAAGCTCTTGAATTCCTTAGCCAAATCTTCTCGAGAAATTTCAAATGTTGACTTCTGATTGAGTAAAATAAGTGGAAAATTAACTGCAATTTATTTATTCTTAGAGCGAAAAAAGAATTCTCAATCGCATTATAACTCAACGTATATAGGTGTACAGTGAAACTCACACATGAAAGTCGGTAACGAATTCTGTGAACCAGCTTTAAACAATAAAATGATAGCCAAGTAATCATGTAACGTAATCAAAATTGTTTTATAAGATTCCTCGACAAAAAAGTGAAAATGTCCCTTGTAAAAGGTGTTGTAAGCTTAAAAGCATGACGGGAAATAAAACTGCAATACCTGAGTATGGCATTCTGACTTTGTCACCGGTACCATGGGCACATCTGAATCCACTGGATGTGAGATATCGTGAGCGAAATCAATATTTGACTGACTAGCATCCTTATCACAGGTAGATTTGTTTTCAAGAAGTGATACCAGAAGTCCAGCAGGAGGATTATATTGAAGGACCAATTCTAAAATGCGAGTAGACATAATGTTCAGTAAAATAAATTGTTTAATGAGAACTATAAAAAATAATTAAGCATTCTTCGACAACAATGAATAACAACAACAGAGTCTAATTTCTCATCACAGAATATTTTTATTAGATAAAAAAATACACAGTGATACAATATTATTTACGATTACGTGTTTTTCATCAAATAAAATCGTTCTACAACAGAAAATCATGTCCTATCTTTATATCACTGAGCCCAATTTTCCTTTTTTTTCAATTAAACTATAAGGGTATAACGTAAATAATTGAAGTGAAATGTATCCACAGTCACAAATTAGAAACTCATCTGACGAATATAAATTATTCTTAACACTGTAAACTATATTCAGAAAAAGAACCACAAAATACACCATTAAAAAGAAACAATGAAACTGTCATCGTGGTCATTTTAGTCAACCACTGCTGAAAAACAGAACTCATCCAGTAAAACCCAACAGGTGAAGAAGTTCAAACTGCTGAGATGAAACAAGCAAAAAATCAGCAAGTAGACAGAAAAAGAAAAAAACAACCAATTTTAAGAGCAGAGAAGAATATCAGCTGTTGAAAACAGTTCTCTCAATGTCCAACACAATAACAGATAAGAGATTAGACATAATTAAGCATGAACATATTCAAATTATGAGAATCTCTTATCCCTTTACATGAAAGTTTAAGAACTTCACTTCCTATTAAATAAGAACTAAGCGCAACGCGTAAGTTGATGTTGAAACGCCTGCCGAAAGATCAATGCTTTGAGAGTGATATATTCTTTAGAGCATCCACAACCTGAACTGCGAATAATCACCATCATTCAAGTACTATAACAATGCCCAAAAATTACTTATAAACAAACATGAGTATTAATATGTTGCATTACAACTTTGTTGACATTATTGAGTAATATTGTGACATTTACTAAATATTATTTTAAGCGATATTCAGACGATGGGTCAGTGTTACACCTGGAAATTCACTGCATCAGCAGCTGACCAAACACCGTGAGATTTCTTCTCCATATAAAACAGAAATAATAACATAATCTGAAACAATATTGTCTCACAAAAAACATGCTACAATGCTCCACGATGTTCTTTATGCATTTCCTTCAAAAAATTCATAGCGGCAGGTAGTAGCCGACTTGAAAATATACGTGATTTTAGACTGCGATTCACAGACAGTTTGACGATTAAAATTACAAGAAATGAAGCAAACGCGACATATTCTACTGAATGGAAAATTTAGGTCACCCATGCAGGAGCCTATCCTCCATAGAAGGTAATTTCATATCCAGCTAACAGTCATACCTGAGGTGTGTGGGTACCAGAGATTGTGTTATGTGCTGTTTTTTGTAATCGAATTATGAAGTAATTTTCCTGAATTGATATTAACTCGAGCTTACATCCAAAATTAAACAAGAACTACGTGGTCTGTGGTAGCCATCTTGTACTGTTAGGATAACTGAAGTTCAGACAGCTAGAGTACGTATGTTATGCAAATAATGTAAAACACACAATGAACTTAATTTTTAAACTCTTCAAATAAACTCAAACACCCACACATTAATAGACGTATATTTAGTTATTATCATATGCTTGGCTTGGGAATTACCAATAGAATTAGAATACAGATACACACATTAATAAACATACAATTTCTCATTGTCACATGAATGGGGAAAGTCAATAGAGTTAGCATACTGAATATTAATACATCACAAATTACTGTATACAGAATAAGTTAGTGTATAAAGCAGTATGACTCATCGGTTTATGAATGAAATAGGTACGTGATTACATATTTACAAATCAGCATTTGATATTACTTCAACATCTAAGGCGAAATAAGTAGTCAGGCATAAAAATTAGGACCAGTTGAAGGCATATCAGACATAAGTCGGTAAACCACATTCCATTTGGCAGTGTAATCATAAAGGTAAGTGGGGTACACAAAATACAATAACTTCTTGAGAAAACAAGGTTTTCCTACCTGGATGAATACTCACAACGAGAGGAGGCCATATTTCTCCTTCATTAGAAATAGTTTCGCTTTGTGGTGATTTCGCTAAAAGCTGTAGCTGTTCACTGTTAGGATAGTCTTCATTTACACAGGTCCTTGTTAGCAAAGGGTCAACGCGTAACTGATAACCTCTGTTTGCATTACTAATGTCAATAGGTATGGTGAATCCACTGGTCATGTTTTGTATAGTAGTGGGTGATGTACTTTTCTCAGTTTCGCAATCAATAGTTCCACTGAGCTTTTTGCTTGATTTTATTAGTACGTCATGAACGTCATGTAATTTATATGAATCAAACACTGGACTTCCAGTGGCTTCACCAAAATTTCGATTGGCAACGGCTGTCAAAATGAAAAATTAACAACGTGCGTTCACAAGCTGAGAATATAAAAACTTGAGGAGAATTAAGAGAGGAAGGTAATGTTCAAACTTCACATACAGATGCTAAACACCTATTAGACTGGTCAGAAAACGGTTATTGTCCATCAATGTGCCAAAGTACACCTGCGAAAACATCATCAGGGAAACACATCCTCATTTATTTTAAAAGCATGATGAATTATCTAGGAGTCACAATAAATTCTAAATTTATTTTTATTTTTTTATTTTATTATAGCTTGATTCCACACAGTATTTTGGTACAAGTATGAAATTTTCAGCATGTGATATCGGTAGCCCAAATTTAGCAGGCCGACCATAGATATCAGGTGTGCGTCGGTAGGGGATCGAACCTCGGACCATGTGCATGGTCGGCGAGAGTCCTAACCACTGTGCCACCGATGCACCACTGTTTTATCACAGTATGGGGCTTCACAACACCTTGATATACGATTGGCATATTCACTCTATAATTTATACGCACTAATTGTTAAGTTAACAAACAGAAAACTCAATGAAAAAACAGCCAGTCATTTTCTACAAAATTACCTATTAAAAAAGGTTCAAAGGACTACCGCATGTACCTGGTTTCCCTTATGAGGAATGACCTGCAAATCTCGGTTTCCTACTTTTGTAATACCACAGAGAGGTCAATGAAGTTTTATCATGTATACAACTTGAAGGAATAACTTAGGATCATATCTTTTTTTAGCCTTTTTCTACGTCAAAACGACTAAGAAAGCATGAAAATAAGTACAAAAGCTAAGAACAAATTATGCCACTGAGCCGTCGATCGTTGTAACCTGGACCCAGACTTGCTGTGTTTTCATCTGGACAGCTATCTGGCATAAAACGATTCACACAAGCTTCTAGACTTTAACCCTAAAAATTGAAAGCAGAATCTTCGCTACTGTCGATATTTACAAAATCTAGAGGGGTAATTAAATTGCTGTAACGATTAGTTTTTAAAACGCGAACTTCACCCTTTCTAGCGTGTAATGAGACAAATACAAGGATACCGGCTTTTCACAATGAATTTGTTGTTACTTAAAACACATTCGTTTATAAAGATCCCAAGTTGGTACATCGCAACATCATATAAGCCCACTACATACACACAACTTGGTGCCATCATAACCTGTTAACAGCATTCATACCGTTGAATCATTACTATGGGACATGATAACAGATATCACAGGTAATATACAGCAAAGTTTCCCCATAAATCACAAGGCGAAAACAGATTTTGTGGCTTAACAAGAGTTAAACAATAATATGGAAAAGCAGCTCCACGTACATAATCAGTTGATAAACGTAATAACTGTTTTCAATAACTCTGCGGAAATCATGTGTAATTTCAAACCTCCACCAAATTCTTGTATAGACATACTCGCAGTGCTACCCTAAAGTGTCTTTCCTCCATCGCTTAAGCCTGAACTCAAGCAACTCCCACTGCTATTAGCTACCGCTGAGTAGAACACAGGATAGTTGGAAGCTGTTCTGGTTCATGGAAGCCACTGTCAACAGAAAGTTTAGTGGTAGCGAGGTGACCTTTGGGGTGGATAGCATGATACTTGACAATATACAAAAGTTGGAGAGGACACCTCGAAAAGATTTCACTTGGTTTGTAGATGCATCGAGATCCTGTACAAACTTCATGAGTTGTTTCAATTCCGTCACACATATCAAAGCGAATAGTTAGTGTTTCTTGATATTGGGACTGCAATCTATCCGTTATGCGGGACTGCTCATCAGGTTGGTCTTTTACACAGAGGTGCATCTGAAAATTGCATTAATTTTCTCGAAGCCCAAACAAAATCATCTCAGGTAGTGAGGGAATACAGCCACCTATAACCACTGAACTCAACTAGGAGAGAGATTACAAAGGGTTGGCCAGTCTCACCATTTCTTTCTTGACATTCCAAAACCCATATAATTCAACAACATACAGGTTACTGAAATCCCACTCAACTAGTTGATGATAAATGTTAGTACAGGGGGTATGTGGTTTGTAGTGTCTAAGGGCAAAATACTGTTACAAACTTGCCAGGGGCCTAGAGTGCAATCATCCTTGAAGGTGAACCATTACAAATAGTGGGGAAATCCATGAATCTAAAGAGTTGTAGATGCTCTAGTGATGTAACGAAACTGCGAAGAGAAAGTCAGGTTATCATACGCCAACCTCGGCTAACTCACACTTTACCGCGACTTTAATTTGCTTGTGGAAGCTACAGTTCAGAACACTTCAAGCATTAGAGTTTCGTCTTACATCCATGAAACCTAGACCCTACAAGATCGATTCTATGCACGAATACTGTTCTTCCTGCAGAACAATATGCACCCAGTAGCACCAGAATGTGAATAATTGTGAGATCCACTGGGAAATGGTGGAGATCAACTTCTAACAAGTGACGACACTCCTGGATACCAACTTTGATAAGATATATATCTACCACGAATGTTATCACCCAAGATTTCATGCTGTTTACTGTTTAAGATTGTTTTGCATTTCACTGTTAAAAATGAAACTTCATTGATTAAAATTTGCAAATAACCAGTGGGTAGTACGTTCTAACTTGGAAGATCCCAGCAGAAATCAAAGGAAATTATAACCTTCACAAAAGAATTTCAGTGCATGTGTCAGATTTTAAGAGTTGAATAGTTGGAAGTTAAATAACGAGTGCTAAAATCTATCGCCAATGCATATCAACAACACAGCAGAAACTAATATTTTTCAAATTTTTTTTGTTCAGAGCCTAAGTTGAAAATGTTAACACTAGTTTACTCACTCCACAACTGACTCCATAGATAGCTGGTCCATATTATGTTAACAGACTGTAACCGATGTACCTGAACACTTCTACGAGTAAGATGAAATATGTGCCGCATGGAAACTAATAAAACACCATAGGAAACGCTTCGCTTACTGAATTGACATTTTTCAATCAAAAGTTATGAATAGACAGCTGCATTCATTTTCATTTAATGACTAAATAATTATTATTATAATAACAATATTTGTTGTTCGACTCCCTTACCCAATTAATTCAATTTGCTCATTGATTCCAGTATTAAGGGTACTCATTAAACATGAGGTGGTATTTTATAAATAAAAAAATAAAATGATGAAACTTTCATGACTGAAGAATCTTTACAAAACAGACAGTTCACTCGTGAAGCCAAATGTTGCATAAAACCAGTCATATTAATAATAATAATATCACCGATTCCATAGAATGAAAGTGAAGCATTTATCAAAACTAACCTTTCACTATCACTAACAAATTAAAATACACCTCAAATGATGAAAAATATACAATTTAACTAACACGAAAATTGGCTCGGTGTGTCCCGAATCAGATACTTCCCTTCATGAGTATGTGTATTGAAAACGAAACTTACATTTATTTATTTGTCCACTGTCTTTGACGCACAAGTGAGTACATCTGTTCCAAACTTTAGCACACGTACACCTTGTATTTTTACAACGAGAGTATGAATGACATCTGTGAACTAAGGATAAACTAGATAGAGTTTGATGCACACGCCGACCATGGTAAACAGGAATACATGAACAGTGATTAAAGATATTCTCGTGATGATCCCAACAAATAGAATATTTTGGGATGAAGAATCGTTTATGAATAATACGGCGTTTATCAAAACACGGGAAACTGCACAACTGCATGTTAGACGGCGACCACTTAATAAATTTTCTACTGTTAGCGCGATAACAATAGGACAGTCGGCGATGTCTCACGAAGGAGTGACAGACTTGAAAACACCAATCATCTGAAAAACAAAAGTAAAGCTGGTTTTATACCTTTTACACAGGCAGACCGTAGTCACTACCGTTCCAAAATATTGGGCGAGGGAGAAATAGACCACAGGTCTGTGAAAAAAAATTGAACAAATGTACAAAATTTCTAACTGCTAGTGAGCAAAAGTCCGTGCTTCTGTAGAGATCAGAAAGACAAGGGGGCGAAGACACAGATAATGCGTAATGTATAAGTAGGTCTTAAAAGGTGCACTATAATACCATTTCTATGTCTGCTCTCTGCTCAACTTTCGATTTAATTTCACTACCATACATGGAATTTTTATTTCTTTAAAATTTTGTCCACGTTTGCTTTATTATCACAAAAGCTATCTTTGTGCGGTCGTTACGTTACAAGTTTCTTAGAAATTTCAGTAGGGATAAACAATGAGACCTAATGAAAGACGAAGCGACCAAACGAAACTAAAACTGAGCGATACGTTAACGAGGCGAACGTTTTTTTAATTCCTTTATATCAGGCTTAAGGTGTTAGGTGACCATCATCTCGGGAGATTTCACGAAATGTTTTCAGAAAATCTGAGGTTATTTGATCAACAGGATATTTATTGCTAAGGTAAATTAGTCATTCATAGTATGGGTACCGTGGGTTGGTGGTTCAGTGGTAGGATGTTAGTCAGCCAGCCAATCAAGTGGTTTGGGTTCGATTCCCAGCTGAAGCACTCTTAAACATCGTCTAGTTCAATAGCCGGTAGTAATCTCAGAAAAGGAGTGAGACTAGCAACCCCCTGCTACTGAAACTGAAGCTGTGTTCAACTGAGAACACAAAGAATGAAAAAGGTACGGGTATCAGTTGAAAATTCTGAAATCCGCATACACGAGGTATAAAAATACGCAAGAATGCTAATCAGTTTCATCGGTTTTTTCAACATCTTTATAATTCGCTTACCTGATGAATCTGTCCGACCTTTACGGGAGTTATCAACTTTATGTTTTGGTCATTTGTGAATATTCAAGCTTGTATTAAACAAACAATTCTCATTATTTAGTGTTACAAAACTAAGTCTTGATGTCATGGAAGAAAAATGCCAACCAAATATGGCTATTCACCTTGTTTTGTAGATATGATAATATAAAGCCAAAGCCTACAAAGTGTGGTTTATCTTCTACATCCAAAAAGGTTATGAATGTAACCAAAATATGGCATCCTTAAAAGGAGAATCTTAAACTTTATGAAAAGGACATTCCTTGAGGTAGTGTTGTCCTTTCAAATATTACTTTCCGATAACACAAAGAATGAGATCCTGCTCTTGACTGGCTCCATAAGTACACCAACAACAATGGATCTACGTACATCGGTTGTTAGACGCGAGTTTCGTCTAAAAGGGTGCAGAAACACAACTCAATGTTTACGAAGGAGTAGATTTATAAGAAGCGTGATACGTAAGGATCTCGTCGATAGTGGTCATTTTGCTTCTATAACTTATTCCTTCAAAGTTATCTATGATGAAAAAACAACCTTTCAAAATCAGTGTCCTCCGATCTGTTTCTAAGCCTATACCTATTGAAATATATATATATATACATCAGAGGTTTGTCCAACAACCGCTCTTGTGGTCTTAATCCCTTCGTTGGATTTAAAAATATCCTCCACTTCTTACGTAATATCACCTCTTTTATGTCTATATACTCATTCAGATAATTTGTTCCTTAGGTATTTTGTCCCATGCCCCAACTCATTGATCATAATTGTCCATTCTTATTATACTTCCATTGTTTTTGATCCTAGCAAGTCCGCACTCATTTGACGAGTTTCCACGTATTTCAGGTGAAAAAATACTGGAAAAATTCATAAAACGATGCACATAATTGCGATTGTACAGTTGAAGTGTATTACAATTAATCACTGAAAAAAGCCTCTTCGCTAAGTCACATCTTTTCTCTAAACAAGTTACGAAGAATCTCTCCTTGCTAGCTTCCATGAAATTGTGAACCTTACACCAAAATGGGACTTAGCTCAGTCTTAGTGTTCGTGCCGTACTTCTGCAAAAATCAATTAAATACGACGTGCAACGCTGGAATGCCTTTACTGTCCCTCTAATGAAGCCCTACATACCTAAATGAATGCCTTGCCAGACAAACACAATAAAACACTTTAAGACAGTAGCTAGTACGTTGGTGATATAAATATATATAACTCACTTTTAAGATTTGATGATCCTACCACGTTTGGGCGGATAAGGCGACCACTCTTGACACTTAAAACAGATGTATATTTAACTGTAGGTGTGATTCTTTTATTTTGTCCTGAAAAGAATGCACCACTGTGTTGATGAACATCAGGATGAAAATTCGAAGAACTACTTCCTTGCGAAGGGATTGGCAGGAAACTTGGTCTTTTTGTTGCACATGTGGACAGAGTGACGGGAGTAACTGGTGGAGAGCGGACATCTGTACTTTGGATAACCTTTTGTAAGGAATTACGTGCAGCTGAAGCACTTGAGTATTTGGTATGCTTTTGATTCAAACTGTTTTCCCGACCTCCGGGTATTAAAGATGTAAAATTCAGCGTATTTGGTCTATGTTTTTTTGAGGTCTCAACATGGCGTTTAGAATCTTTCTCCAACTTATGAAGACCAGGTACACGTGAAAAGCCGACATCTTCTGACGGTGTGTTGCCTCCACTCATACTTTACTACGTGTGATATCACAATTTCTCAGTCGATGCCATCTGAAGAGTAAAGTGATCTCCTAACAAACTCTCCTGACAACAATGACTCACACTGAAAAATAAAAGAAGTGTGTTTATTACTAGTCACAGTAATACTTATTGTGTACAAACAAACTCAGGCAATTTAAGGATGTTTTCCAATAAAATTCTCAAAATACTACCTTTGTTTCGAAATTCCAGGGATTTGATCTGATATGCTCGAGCTAATATAGAAAAAGGTTCAGAAGGAACGACAAGTACCTCCTCCATTGGAAATCCACATAAGCAGTCTAAACTTATACAAGTGCTAGTGCGAAGTCATGCTGTCTACCTCAATCGAAATGTAAGGCCACATCATCCTAGAAAGACTCAAAAGGAGTTACATAAAAGACTTCATCCAGAACAAGTTGAATTCAGCAGAAGCAGGTCATCCTTGGGACAAATAGTAATACTAAACATTATCGAACAGAGTACAGAATAGCAGCCTACCTTTTACCTCAACCCCATCAGCTTGTAAAGCCCTTCGATAGTGTCGACCGTCGACCGAAACCGACTCGGGGTATAAGCGCAAAAAACCTATCCTTCTGTCCTACTAGATAGCTGTCTGAAACTTCCTTGAGAAACGCACAAAAAGCTCCAAAGGCATCAAAAGATAATTGTTTGTGGTTGGAATCGATGTGGGGCTCCATTTAACAATAATAATATCAAAAACTCGGAAACACCTCAACAGTGCCGTTAGGCAACTATATAGGCAATGCAGGTTTCTAAACACAAGACAAGCGCTGTACGACAAAATCACTTAACCAAAGTTAGCAAAGTCAAATTTAGAGCACCATTAACTACCAACGGACCAATAATCTTGAACACATCAACCACAAGAAATAGGGCATTTTCAGATATAGAGTTGATATATTTATGAAAAGATGGAATAAAAGGTATGAAACTGTTAAATATGATACCTTTCTCTGGCGCGTGGACAAAATGCTTCTCATCTCTTTGAACTGGTGTCAATAGAATGATGATATCATATTCTTAACGTGTATTCGTCTACTTCTAACCGTCACCCTAACCCTAGTCTCTCCTCAACCTAACCCTAACGCGAAACTATCATTAAACTAACGCTAAACTAATTTGGACCAACCCTAATATCTTCCTTATCGGGTTAACTTACCCCTAACCTATTTTTAAACCAAACCTTGAATTATTTTTCTCCCATATCTAACAGGCGCATATGCTTGAATTTATTTTACAGATGACTTCGCAATTTCAATTACGAAAGGATCGTATGAACAGCCAACTGGTTGTTTGTAAGTGGACAAATTCACATTAACAGCCTAATAAATAAGGATAAATAGGGCTTACGCGGTGAAAGTGAAAGATAATGGATAGAAAAAGCGTATAAAGTACAGACGATAGAATCACTTGATTGGCATCAGCCTACTCCTGAAATTACTCTCGAAAGTGAACCATTAATAGTAGTCAGAAAATTAGTGAATTTGGGTAGTCGTGGTTACAGTGGTGTGATGAAAGTATATTACGAAAACTGGAACGACAGACAGCATAGTCTTCAAAGTCATGTCCTGCCGCGATTTTAATATGGGCGTCAAAACTTCATCTCACCGTCTCAGACAGTACAGTTTTACTTTATGTCCAAGAAGTTTGGACCCTCCTAGTTCGAGTCCATGCACGATCATGAATCCTTTTGCAGAACAGTCTGGATGCAGTGGCACTAGTATTGATAACTCTTAGGTATGTTTCAATAAACTGGCGATTGCCTTTAAATACGTGACAACATTTCGGGACACGAGCTTCGAATGTTATCACAGAATATATCGTGCTATTCATTCCAACTGAACAGAGAGGTTGCCAAAGTACGCTGTGGTGCTGTGACGTGAAATATAATCGTGTTAAGTTAGCACCTGTTGATGCATTACAACTACCTAGCTGGAGCAAGAAAGACTATCTACCAGTTGCTCGAGACGTTACGAATTGTGAACTGAAATAGTTAGTGAACATGATGCCAGTTCCGCCTTAATTATACTTTGGAGGGAGATATGAGGGAAGTTTCTCTCCTCTGAATGCTTTAATAAGTATTTTTACATATCTTTATTCCATTGTTGCTCGAATATTTTATTTATCTTCTCCCTTCTTCACCACAATATGTGAGTTTTATCCATATCAAGCACACAAAACTTATCCCAAATGATTGAGACGCAACTGCTCCTGACCCTGAAAAATCATGGATTTTCGCTCCCTTCAGTCTGGATAATAAGCCTCCAAACAACGGGCAGTGGAACCAAGTGGTATCATTAATTAAGAACTTCAAAATTGAAGATATTAGCGAGTACATGGGCAGAGAAATATGAAGTGTTACGAAAGTGAAAAAAATCAAGGTGACCTGAACGAGTTACCATCATACTGGCAAAATGCAGTTGAAACCAACCAATTTAGTTGTTTGTTTCATATGAGGGGATTATTTAGAAGCTGTAACCAGGAAAGAATTCTCAAGCATTTATCGAAACGCACATCCCATCTCAATTCCGAATACCTTCGATAATTTGCAAGTCCCAAAAGCTTCACAAAATTGATCAAAGACAGTATACTTTGTTTAATAGCTCTAGTTTTTTCGTCTGAATAGCATAGGGTTAGATCTAACCTTAATCTTACGAAAATTCTGTAATTACAAAGAACTTAGTAACAGTACCTAGGAAATCTAATCCTGCAAGAAAATGAATATAAATTATCCTAGCAATATTCACACCAAAGGCTAATTCGACTGATTTATTTTTCACAAACTAACCATATCTCCCACTGGACATCAAGGACTACCAAATGACCTTGTCAGAAATAGGAGAAAAACAATACATTGAGCAGAACTGACATTATTTAAGGCAAATGTTGTTGAGCGTTCAAAAAGTACGATTAACCTTCAATACGGTATATGCAATAAAGAGTTATGTACTGTGCATTTTATGCATGTAAACAATCATGTCCAGACTCTTCATTTCGACTTCGTTTCTACATAGGCGTTTAGTGCGCAGTCTATGTTCATCTACTCTGACTTTTGTCTTTCTGTTTCTTTCCCCTATATAGCAAGCTTCATATTCCAAGCATCTTATACTATAGACACGGGAGTTTTGTGTCATTTTAGGAAAAAAGTATTTTACACTAACCAAAGCCTCCTCTAAAGAATTAGAGGGATTTAAATGGAGTTAAACATTATGTGAAGGAAGTATCCCTTGAGGTTGTTCAGTCACGTCTTTTTGATGTGGAATGGCTATCGTCGACACCCGAGATTTCTCAATCATATCTGCTTCTTCCATTTCTATTGGAAATGCCTAATGCAAATATTAAATAATAACATAAAACAGGAGATACAATTCGAACACCTGTGATTAAAGACAACCACTCACTTCATGTATCAAACTTTTACCGACCAGTTTTCGCAACCATGGAGGGACTGAACGAACTGCTTCTTTGGACGCCTATCCTTTGATTGATATTCAGATACCACAGGACAGCGGCTCCTTGAATACGACGTGCTTTGTCCTCTCTCTCTAACCTATTTTGTGAATTATCCGCTTGGGAAACCTGATCTCCCATTACTTACATATTGAATCTCTGTGTGGTAAGTCCAGCTGTCTCGAACTACTGCCAAAGCTTCAGGTGCTATTTTTGTATCAACATCTTCACTCGTTCAGATAAACAAAACTTGTTGGTCTACCACGTGACTGCTGTGAAGCCGATCATCCAGAAAGTACTAGGTAAAGTCGAAAACCTTTTCTTTTCCTTGTCTTGTACTTTTTTAGCCTTTCTTGTTCTTGCGGTTAGATACTGTTGCACTGTTATTCTTATATAGCATAAGTTTTAGTGATTGTTAATATGGCTGTCGAAAGTAGCCTTAGAAAAGGCACTAAAACACCATACTCTGTAGTCACAAGGGCTTCAGCCAGAGAAGGCGAAAACCCAGGGAAATCAATCCCTTCCCGCATACCGATCCTAAAGACTCGTGTAAATCTCTTCTGTCCTGATACTACGCCTGCATTGCCACAGTCTAGGACTGAAACGGCACAGGCAATACCAGGGGGACAGGATACTACACCTGCATCAACTGAAAGCCAGTGTGTGAAACACAGCAAACCTAAAAGGATACGTTCAAGACGTCATAAGACCTCGAAAGCGTCATCGAGGAAGGGAGACGAATGCCAGGCGCGCAGTACCATAGTTTCTAAAACTGACTCAGCGTTTGAATGCAATTTTTGCAAACGATGGGTGCACTGCCGTTGTGACAAAGAGATGCCGAAAGCATACTGCTAGTTTATGAGAAATAACCCATGCCCGTGGGTTTGGTACATCTGTCCACTTTGTCACCCTGGCATAGTCCCACAGAGCCTGTCTGTGGACAGCAGAAATAACACCCCGCTCTTGTGTCTAAACACAGTCTTATGCAGCTCCCCACCTGCTAACATCACACTGCCAAAACTTGGCACAGACAGTAAGAAGGTCACTCCAGTCCTACTGACTGAAAATGCCAGTTTTCACAAGGTGAAGATTCAGAAGTTTGAACCCACAACATCAAGGGAAGATAGAATTAGAAAAGTATCACTTACATCCACAAGCAAGCTTGGCAACACAACAAAGGCTGGCCAGAACCTGATGAAGCCTAAAGTTGCTGACGCTGCAAAGGAATACGAGAAGACAAAGGCCAAACCTAAGTCTGAGGTTAATTAGTCTAATTCTCTTATCCTCTTTAACGTACCTGTGAGCAAGGACAGCTTGCTTAAACAGCGGACCCTGTTTAATCAGGAACAGTGGTCCAACCTGTGCAATAAATTAGGTCTGAACGTTAGTTCAGTGAAATTGTGCAGGCTGTACAGTGGTATTCACACGCCTCAGGGTAAGCCACCCCCATTAAGGGTTACACTGGAGTCTGCCGAAGAGGCCGTAAAGATATTATTATTAATGGCTCGGCTACTAGCCATTGACAGAAGTTCGAACGTAAGGGTGAGACAAGACAGACCATGGGTTATCAGACAAATGGCGAGGGAGTCATCGGAATTGATGCCTTCTACCTCTATGGTGGTACACGGTGTTCCGGAGCTGGAAACGGTCACTGCTTGTGAAAAACACATGTATGACGTACAGCAGTGGAGATGGCTGTCATCTCAGATGACCCTTGGCGCTTCTGGAGCCATCTTCATTTCCCGACTACCTTACCCCGCTGATCTCACACTGATTAACTCTCCGAGGCTGCTAAGTGTCACGTTCAACTACCCGGAGCAGTTGGCCATAGCACTTCAACGGTGGTATGAAATCAAGGGAAAATGGGAGGACACATCCGATGCTGCGAAAGCAGACCTCGAACCATAAGGAGGCAGAAAACTGAGTCTTTAATACGTACCCGAGCTTCAGTGACACTAGAGCGATGCAGTTCTGAGAATAACAGTCTGTG